CGACACCATTTTCTATTATATCAGCAACTTCTTGAAAGCCGAATATCGTTTTCATCTTAATCTTCCAATCTCCAAAAGATTTGCCATCGAACACCGGCAACCCTCCCTGTATCAATCCTCCAAGACCTCCTGTCATGATAAATCTTGCAGACTTCTTGACCACACTTCAAACGTTTTTTCAACAGGTTTCTTGATCTGCGACTTCTTGATCTTCGAAGACCCACGTGAAAAAAAACCTCCAAGATTTTCTTGACTTCACACTTTCAAGGTCATAGAACGAACCCAGCTCTTGATACCATGTTACGTACTAAGGAAAACAGAATGAACGTAAAGGGTACAGGAAAAAGGAAGTAACTGAATAGTACGTGCATACATGCATGCATGCAGCCAGTGGCAGATCTTTTTGGAAGCTGAGGGGGGCCGTGGCCCCCCCAAAGTTTTATAATTCCCATGTAATTTATGATTTTGGCCCCCCCAAACTTAATAAACATTTAATATATTTACTTGTATATTTACAATTCTATCTTTTCAACCTCTCTTTAATTTTGTAACTCCCATGTAATTTATGACTTTGTCCTCCTCAAACTTAATGATCATTTAATATATTTAAATATATATTTACAATTTTATCCTTTTACCCTTTCATCTTCTTTCTTCCTTTTATATTTATTTATTATTTATTAATAATATATTATTTTATATTTATTTATTATTTATTAATAATATATTATTTGGCCCCCAAGATCAGTTGGTCAAGATCCGAACACTGCATGCAATGAAGTATTATTTATATCGAGAAAAACGGATAATGTAAAACTGAACTTGTAACAAAAGCTTTTTTAGTTTGGCTTATTCAACAATCGTGTCAAACTTTCATGCATGTTAGATCTTTAAAAAAAACTATCACAAATAATAGGTAAGATTTAGAATATTTTTTTAACATAAGTTATGACTAATTTATTCTTTTATTCTATATTCATATTCATATATATATATATATATATATATATATAAATATGTTTATTAAAAAACATAATTTAAAAATAGGTTTTTGATTGTATTTTTCAGAAATATATTCTGAATTCATAAATTCGGAACTCAATTCATGTCTGGATTTAATAATTTGAAACTCATTTATGAATTATATTTTTTAGAAAATGTATAGATCAACTTTCAAGAACCTATTTAGAGATAATATTATATTTTAGATAAATATGATATAGAAAAAAAAATAGAGTGCAAGAAAAAAATAAACCTAAATTACACCTAGGCCTACTAAAGCCCAATTTCATCTTGCTTTTCCTACCTCGAATTTTTTTCCCCACTTTATTGGGTTAAAGTCCAATCTTGTTCATAATGTTATGATTAGGGTTTCTTTTGACTAGGATAAACCCTTCCTCAGTATTTTTATTTTTTTTATCTTCTTTTTAAATATTATTTATATATGTACCTATTTTCTATTTTATTTTTATTTTTATTTTATATTTATCTTTTTAATGGATTATAATTTTTTTTAAACATATAAAAAATACGCATTTATCTTCTTTAAGATTATAATGAATAGATTCTCATACCTATTTATGATTCTAATAAAATGATATTCACATAATTTTTTTTTAATTTAGAATAATTGATATTTATTTATTTCATGTTTATAATAAATTGACACTAATTTTTCTTATTTTATTTATATTTTTTAATTTATTGTGTATAATTTATTTATTTATTTTTTCATTATTTAATTTTATTTAATATATGATATTTTTAAATAAAATAAGAGAAATGATATTAATTTATTACAAATATAATTTTTTTAGTTTAGAATAATTGATATTTATTTATTTCATGTTTATAATAAATTGACACTAATTTTTCTTATTTTATTTATATTTTTTAATTTATTGTGTATAATTTTTTTATTTATTTTTTCATTATTTAATTTTATTTAATATATGATATTTTTAAATAAAATAAGAGAAATGATATTAATTTATTAAAAATATAAAAATTTGTAAAATAAATTGATCTATAAGAAAGTAAATATCATTTGTATTTATATTAATCTTACTATTTAAATATTTGTTATAAACCAAAACCCCATTTCCAATGATTATACTGAACATAATTTATAAATATTTATTTATTGTATAAAAAAATATAAATGAACTTAATATTTGAAAAGTAATTAATTTTACTTATATTCGATTCTAGAACTAATAAAATTTTAGTTTATACAAAAAACTAAATTATAGTTAACTATTTTATACTTTTAAAATTAAATAATTTAAATTTATTGCCAAAAGAAAGTGTTAACATGAATGTTTAAAACCTTGATATATAGGATCTATCTAAACAAGTTTTTTTTAATTACTATTTAAAAGAAGATTACATAGTAAATCAAATAATTACTAATTAATATTACAATATCAAAATTAAAATTAATTATCAAATATCTATATATAATTTTTATTTTAACAATTTGATTTTTTTTCAATTCAATTAAAACAACTTCTACGTTTCCTTTATTTTAAATATAGAGAGGTAATAATTTATTATTATAATAAAAAATAATATTATATATATATATATATATATATATATATATATATATATATATATATATGGTTAGGGTGAAGTATTATTTTAGTACATATATTTTCATGTGAAATTGGAAATAATCTTTTTATTAAAGTTCACATTAAAATAATTTCTATATTTTTAAAATAATAAAAATAAGTTTTTATTTTAGACGATGTTAAATATATAATAACCTGTCTAGCCGATATAATATGAGTCATTCAAAGCTCTTCTTAAAAAAAATAAAAATTATTGAACAGATATTATTATTTAAAAAAACAAAAATAGAAATGATTGAAGAGATATTATGCAAACCCTTGTATAGCTTTTGGTTTTAGTTGATCAAACGAAAGTCGTTGCGGGTCAATTTTTTCAATTTTCATAAATAGTTCATTTAATCTTTATGATAATTTATTTAATTGAAGTTTCATATTTAATGAGGATTGGAAAAAAATAGATCAATTGTTTAAGACCGTGCACGAATCCTGGTAACTGAGTTAGGTAAGTGTCATATATAAAATAAAGAAGGGTATATAAAAAAGGGATAAATATCTTTTTTAGTTTCAGTAATTTCATATGAATTTAAAAATAGTTTTTCTTTCAAATTTCACATAAAATTTATTCATATATTTTTGAAATGATTGAAATAGGTCCCTATTTTAAACAATGTTAAATATATGATGACCTATGTAACAGAGATAATATGACTCATAAGTTCCTATTTTAAACGACATTAAATATATGGTGACACTGTATAACGGAGATAATATGACTCATTCATTATTTGACACGTATAATTATTAAAAAAAAAGTAAAACTCTTTTAAAAAAAAATAGAAATTATTCAACGAGAGATTATTATTTAAAAAAAAATAAAAAATAAAAATAAAAAAGTATAAGTTTTTTTCCTCCTAACGTACCAAAGCTTTTCGATTCTCGTCACAACCACTTTTCATTTTCTCTTATTTTCTTGTCACACTATTTTTCGTTCTCTTTTTTTCTCGTCACACATCAAATGTCTTTTCTTTCTTCCCCTTTTTCGTAAAGATTGTATGAAGTCAAAGTAACTTTGAAGTTTGAGGGTTCCATCGATTCGTTGTAGTTCGACTAGCGAGTGCAACAGTAGTATATCATAGTTAGTGTTTTCTTTTTAAATGACTTTTAAATGTTATAAATACTGATTTAAATGACTTTTAAAAGTTTGACACATTGTAATTTTGTTTAATTTTATTTTTTTAAATAATTACACATAAGTCATACTATTTCTATTAGACAGATCATATACTTAACGCAGTTTAAAATAAAGAACTATCTCAATCATTTCAAAAGTATAGAGATCATTTTTATGTAAATTATGACAAATAGACTATTTTCAATTTCTCATCAAAATATAGGACTAAAATCATTATTTAACCCATATATATATATATATATATTATATCTACCAATTTTATTTTTATTAAATACAGTTAAGAACATGAAATTTTCTCACGATTATTTTATTTGTTTGGATTTGTTTTTAGTAAGTTACTTCGAAGGTTTTCTATAATTAATTTTGATGGTTACTTATACATTTTCCCATTTTAAAGTATCGATTTTAGTTATTATATGTATTTTTAGATGATTTTAGCTATATTATTGAAGCACAGTTAGATATAAATAACTGTTTGTTTTCTCTTAGACATGTACTTTTCAGTTGAAGTTTCTTTGAAGTTACAATGGTCACATAAAACAGGGGAACATTTAGAATTCTACACATTCATATTCATTTGCCATAGAATATTTTACATATAAGATATGTTGGTCAAATTATCTTGTGTCACACGAAACAATTATTCATCACTATTCCTTAATTCCTGTAATTGCTTTGGAAGTGGATTCCTCACAAAAGCACAAATGAAAATCATGTAAAGATTTAATGTTGGTAATTCAAACTACAACATTCATACTTCTAAGAAAAATAACAAAATGTTTGTGGAAAAAGTAATGAATCAAAGTTTAAAGTAGTTTTCAAAAACAAATGAACTTCCTCCTCTAAAAGAACAAAGCATGGATTGTTGTACATTAGTAGTTATGAGAAGACATCATGTTTGCTTGTCACAATTCAAGTAGTTTTTCTAAACTTTCTATTCAAATCAACTAACATAAATTATTAAATACAACCCTATAAACGTACCCTTAAATAAATAAAGCAAAATTTTCTATTAATGCTAATTTACTGAAACGTATCTCTCACTCCAAACCCCCCCCCCCCAAAAAAAAGTTAAGCCAATAATATAATAATTAGAGGGTTGAAAGCAACATTGTGATTCATTTATGGCTATAAAAATAGCTGGGTTTTATATTTTCTTTGTTATGGAAAATAATCAAGCCATGTTTCCAGTTTCTATCATTCTTCTTTTACTCTTGCATCAGTTACTTGTAATGGGAGCTATAGGGCCTAATTCTGCTGTTAAGAATAATAGTTTTGAGTGCATTGAGATGGAAAGGAAAGCCCTTCTTAAGTTTAAAGAAAGTCTAAATGATCCTTTTCATTGCCTATCTTCATGGGTTGGCAGTGATTGCTGCAAATGGGTGGGTGTAAGATGCAACAAACATACAGGGAATGTGATAAGGCTACATCTTAGAGGCACAAATATCTGTTCCAAGGCCACAAATAAGTCAGTCACAGACACCAAATGGCCTTTGAGTGGTGAGTTGAATGCTTCTCTGCTTGACTTGAAATATTTGAATTATTTGGACTTAAGTCACAATAATTTTGAGAATGTTCAAGTCCCATCATTTTTAGGTTCACTTGGTAACTTGTGGTATCTCAATCTGTCCCATTCATCCTTTACTGGCATGGTTCCTTCTCAGCTAGGAAACTTGTCTCATTTGCAGTATCTTTCTTTGTTAACACCTTCATCTTCATCATTATTATGGGCTTCTGATTTGAGTTGGTTGTCTAGTCTTACATCTCTCCAATATCTAGATATGAGTAATGTGAATCTCAGTAGAGCATCAAGTTCATGGCTCCAATCTGTCAATAGGATTCCATCTCTTTCAATTTTGAGGTTATCTGCTTGTGGACTTTCTAGTTTACCTCAAACTCTTCCATTTTTAAATCTTACATCGCTTTCAGTCCTTGATCTTTCGTTCAATACCTTTCATTCCTTGATACCAGGATGGCTGTCCAATATCAGTAACATGAGAGAACTTGACTTAAAATTGGCAAAACTTGAAGGTCCCATCACTACTGTATCATGGGGAAATTTGTGCAAGTTACATAGTCTAGACTTGTCATCAAACACTCAGGTTGCTGGTGAAGTTCAAGGATTTGTGGAGGCTTTAACAAAGCGCACCAACAGTAGCATAGAGGTTTTAGATTTGGCTCACAATGAACTTACAGGGAATTTACCAACCTCTTTGGGTTACCTTAAAAATTTGAGAACCATTTGGTTTGAGGGAAACAAATTGTCTGGTTCAATCCCTCCATCCATTGGAAATTTGTCATATTTAACACTTCTAGACATTTCCGACAACAAGATGAATGGGACTATTGCATCTAACATAGGTCACCTCACTGAACTATTGACACTGAACCTTGACGGGAATTTTTGGGAAGGCATCCTAACTGAAAACCATTTTCATAACCTCACACATTTGTCTACATTTTATGTATCATCCAAAATGGGGTCTTTAACTTTCAATATCACACAAAACTGGGTTCCATCTTTTAATCTAGTGGATCTAGAAATTCATGACTGTCAATTAGGCCCTGAGTTTCCAGCATGGCTCAAAACTCAAAGCAACCTAATGACCATTGTTCTCAAAAACACCGGAATATCAGTTACAGTGCCAAATTGGTTTTGGGATTTCTCACCACAAGTCATCACTGTGGACCTCTCCAATAACCAATTAAAGGGAAGCCTTCCAAAGTCCTTACTCTTTGGTGATTTTGCATCAGTTAATTTGGGGTTTAATGCCTTGGAAGGGTCAATTCCAGTTTGGTCTGGTGTGACTTTCCTTTCCCTAAGCAACAACTTTCTCTCTGGCTCAATTCCTTCAAATATTGGCCAAGACATGTCACAGCTTGAAGGTTTGGATCTTTCAGGGAACTTAATAACTGGCAGCATACCTTCATCCATGAGGTTGCTATATGCTTTAAGTTTTCTTGATCTATCAAACAATAGTTTATCAGGGAAAATACCTCTATATCAAGAGGGACACAAGCTAAACCTGTATACTATTGATCTATCAGGCAATAATCTATCAGGAGGAATTCCTGCTTGGATGTGCACAACACCTTCACTCAGAATAGTTCAACTAAGCAACAACCGCCTTTCTGGGAAGCTATCATCCATGTTTCCCAACTGCCCCTATTTGTACACAATAGATCTTGGAGATAATGCATTTTTTGGCTCCATACCAAAGTGGCTTGGGAATAACGTCACTTGGATAAATGAGCTGAGACTACATGGCAATGCACTTACTGGAAATATCCCTGAAAGTTTGTGCCATCTATCGCATCTTCATGTTCTTGATCTTGCACACAATAACTTTTCAGGCCATATCCCTCCATGCTTAGGCAATATGACAGGTTTCAAAAGACCAAGTCCTTATCAAATTGGCAATATCCCCTCAGATAATCCTGTAGCCTACTCTGAGCACATGGATTTGTATGTGAAAGGAAGATCAATGAAATACACATCAGAAATGCATGTTATAAATCTTATTGATCTTTCCAGCAATCATCTATCTGGGGAGATCCCACAAACACTCACAGAACTTTCATACTTAGTTTCCTTGAACCTGTCTTGGAACCAATTCACTGGGGTCATACCAACAAAGATTGGAGCACTAAATCAATTGGAAAGCCTTGACCTTTCGAACAACCATCTCTCAGGTCCAATACCTCCAAATATGGCTTCCTTGACTTTCTTGGGACATTTGAACTTGTCCAATAACAACTTGTCTGGTGAAATACCAACAGCAAATCAGTTCTATACTTTGACAGATCCCTCCATCTATGAGGGTAATCCACACCTCTGTGGGACACCTTTGACTACTAAGTGTTCAGAGCATGTTGATGAAAGCCCCACTGGTAATGACACAGATGAAGATCAAGACAGTTCCCATGATAAGTTGTGGTTATATTTGATCATAGGACTTGGCTACTTTGTGGGATTTTGGGCTGTTTGTGGCAGCTTAGTGTTGAAGAGATCTTGGAGACATGCCTATTTCCAGTTTGTTGATTCCATGAAGGATTGGATTTTGCTTGTTACAATAATGAATTGGATTCGAATCAAGAGAAAACTGAAACTAGAAAAAAATTGAGACTGGCTCCCTTTGTACTTGGGATAATTTGTAAGCTGTCAATGATCAACTGAATCTTTCAGGCTTGGTTGGTGCAACTGAGTGTGATAAATTGTGACTTAAATGAATTACTGACCATAAGCATTTGATCATGTATGTTATGCATGCCTTTTCATGTTAACCGCAACTGATATTCCTCTAGACTAGAGTTTCTTCAAATTCGGCTATTTGATCTTAGGATTCTTCCATGAAAGACTTCAAACTTAAAAGCAGTTGCTGAATAGTGAAATGAAGATTAGGTTTTGGAATCTTTGACCTTAATTTAGTAAGAGAATTTAACAGATTGGTTAAGAATTTATTTTTCTAGCATAATATATTGATAAATGATAATCTGCAACTGTTCATAAACAACCATGAAACTTCTACGTGCTTGAATCACACGCAACACTGTTTTGTAATATATACTTTCCCAGTCACATCAGTGCCACAAAATTAAATACGTATTTAGATCATCATTTTCTAAACTTAAATAAAGTGGTGATTATTTTTTAATTAGTAATAAGTCTATGAACTTTCAGCTCAGGTAATTTGGTTCTCAAAAAAATATATTATCATTTTAGACACGTAACGTTTCAGGTCTAGGACTTTGGCCACCAAGTTTGATTATTCATCTTGCGTTTCAATTTTTTCTTAACTAACAAATAACACGACCCAGTAATATTTTCAGCTATAGAAAAACTAACAGTCCCTAGAAATATATTATAAATGAACCACATAAAACATTACATTCATTTGAGACATTAGAGCAAGAAATAATGATGGAAGATGTGAAGGTGTTTGGTTTGTGGGCAAGTCCATTTACCCAAAGGGTTGTTTGGGCACTGAAATTGAAGGGTGTGAATTATGAGTACATTGGTGAAGATCTTTTCAACAAGAGCAACCTCTTACTGCAATACAATCCAGTGTACAAGAAGGTTCCAGTACTTGTGCATGATGGAAAACCAATAGCAGAGTCAATGGTGATTCTTCAATACATTGATGAGACATGGCCTCAGACCCCTCTATTGCCCCAAGATGCTTACCAGCGTGCTAATGTTCTTTTCTGGTCAAAATTCATCGATGAAAAGGTAAGAAATATGCAGACTTTTGTACCCTGTTTCATTTCATACTTTTAGAATGAGTAAACACATGGGAGACATTACTTTTTTTGATAATATAAGAAGCGTTTAATGGTTATTTTTTTAGATTTTTAATTAACAATATATTTGATGATGATTTGAAATAGATAGAGTGATAGTTAACAACTTCAATAACATGGTTTTTGCAGACAGTAGACATGATGAAGTTTTTTAGATATGATGGAGAAGAACAAGAAAAGGCAATGAAAGAGAATTGGGAAAGTTTGAGAGTGATGGAGAAGGAAAGTGGGCTAAGTGAGAAGAAATTCATTGGTGGCAACAGAATTGGATTGGCAGATCTTGCCTTGGGATGGGTTGCACACACTTTGGAAGCCATGGGAGATGTGATTGGAGTGAAGTTCATAACCCCTGATGCATTTCCTCACCTTCACTCTTGGATGGGGAATTTCTTGGAAATTCCTGCCATAAAAAACAATCTTCCACCTCATGAACATGCAGTTGAGTACTTCACAGAGAAGAGAAAGATGTTTCTTGCAATGAATTATCACCATCATCACCACTAGAATTCATTCATATGTATGTTTGGTTATTCACGGATTTTCGTTGGATTAATGTTATTTAGATAATGTTTTGAAATATTAATGTTTAGATACTATTCCACCATCTCTTAACTATTGTTTTGAATTATAAATTTCTCTTCAATTATAGAAATAACATTCTAATACTATTTTAATCATTAAAAATGATATTTCTTTATTTTTATTTTAAACTTGATTGAAAATATTTTAAGATACTGTATCATATTAGCAGTAGAATATATAATAATTAAAAATAAACAAATACTTAAAATAATTTATTTACAAATAAAAATTACAATAGTTTAAAATTAACTAGAAAAATTGAATTATAATTATTCCACAATATATTTATATAATAAAATTAATTAATAATTAATATAAAATATCATTTTAATTTGTTCAATTTTCTATTTATCAACTATTTCAACACTGACATATCTCGATCGTTTTGGAGAAAATAACAAAAAGCTAAAAACATAATTGGATATTGTGTTTCACAATCAACAATTTTAGATTTAAGAATGGTAGACAAATGTATAATATATGATGGTGAAGGGTTCATGCATTTGCCCATAACTTTGCACAAAAAATTTTAAATTAGAAATATATATACAAGATTGAAAGAAGTATATCTGCTGAAGAAAAAGATAAAGCAGAATCACTTTCTAGCCAAAGGTAATAAATATAGTTTATTTCAAGGATTTTTATTTTAAAGGATTATTACCAAATATGCATTTAAAACTTTATTTAATTTTCCTTTCTATTTTTACCAAAATGGTTTCTAAGATGACGAATATTTTTGAATAGACTATCCTAAGAAATAGTTAATAATTGTTGATAGTTTTAGAATATACTTGTTGGGGTGGTTCATGAACCCTACAACAAAACTTAGTGGAATGAGAAAAGTAAAGTGTGACGTGTTTGATCGATTGTTACAATGTATTGCTACTTTTTATAATCTTCTTTTATGTGATGGAATCAAAGTGTAAGAGGTATGAGATTCCTTAATAGAAGGTGTGCTACAAGTTAACATAAAGAACCACCAATAAGAATTGAATCCAAAATCATTGAGTTGTTCTCAAATTGATGTGACAATTAGTTTGTAGCTATTTTGAGAAAAAACATATGACTAATGTTTGGTCTCACCCTAATTATATTTTTTATGTACAGTGCAAAAAAGGGTTTTTACGTCAGGTATTTAGGGCTTTTTACGTTGTATTTAAGTCCGACGTTAAAGTGGGAGACGTAAATTTACGTCGGACCCTTTTGCCTGACGTAGATTTACGTCAGTTATCCAGATCTGACGTAGATTTACACCAAACAGACATAAAAACCTTTTCAATTTAAAAATAAAAATAGAAAATTTACGTCGCATATGGTATACGCGACGTAAATTTACGTCGCATATACCAATACGCGACGTAAATTTACGTCGCATATACCAATATGCGACGTAAATTTATTGTTTTTTTTTAAATTGGGTTTATTTATTCCGTTTTACAACTAAAACCTGCAAATATTACAACCAGACAGATCCAGATGTTTAGTTTTCTTTAGCTAGTAAATTAAAAATATAATATTATATAATTCAAACTACATAATAAAACAATATAATACAAACATACAAACTAAAAAATCTATTACAAACTAAGCTACCTATACAAACTAAGCTACCTATACAAACTAAGCTAAGCTACATAATACACACAATATAATATGAACAAGAACTTAAAAAATAATGCACTAGAATTGTTGAACAAAAAATTTTGCCCATTGTTCTCTAATTTCGTAATCTCGGATCTCGGTAATGGAGATGGATCTTGAAATACCCGAAACATGAATTTGACTCTTGTAAGCATGCAACATGAATAAAGTTAAATAAACTTAACTAATGTTAAAAGTAATTACCTTCGTCCAAGAATCAATTAAACCCGCACAAACTATGACTCTCATCCAATACATTACATAGTACCCACATTCAAACGAGTCAGTTTGCTTATTACATTGAAATGATGAAAAAAACATAATATTATTTTCAAAATTGAAATACAAACAATAATTATGGTATTCACTTATATAAATAAGTTTCTAACCTTAGGATAAATGAACTGCAAAGTCTTTGTTCTAGGTTTTCCACTTAGAACATTAGTTCCGAGACACGATTCTAAGTGAAAAAAGTCATATATTATTCAATATGTATTCACAATTTAAAAACATAATTAATGAATAAAAGATAAAGTTACCCTTGTAATAAGCTTTTCATTTCTTGACTCGGTTTCCGATGTAATGAACAAAACCACACCACGAGTGTAATCCAGGGCATGATTACAATTAACTGCCAATGGGACCTACATTGTATGATATAAAAATTAGTTACAAAAATATAAATTAAAATACAAATTAAAATACTAACCCTTCAATGTATGGAGCCAAATATACATGTCTTCTTGAGTCACTCATCCATGTTTGCATATATTGTTGGATTTCAACCTTTGTATTTCCAGATTTTTGGATGGATTGAGGCTCAATAAATCCGTATACTTCGGATTTTTCTTGTTCCACACTCAAATTGTCAAGGTACCTAAAACAATTAATTATAAGTTGAATATAATTATTATAATCTTAGAAACATAAATGAAAATGACTTACATTGCCCACAATTGTATGATGGAAATGTTTAACATGCAATTTCCCCAACAATTTCTAAAGCATCGGGCAAGGAAATGTACAATGGAACACTGTAATTGTCAATTCCAAACACTCTAACATCCCATTGTATCGACACGGTCTCTTCCTCAACCGTGGTAATACGGCTAACAATATAGAGATGGGATCATCATCACATTCCGTCAGATCCTCATCAATAATAGGTTGTTTTTTATGCTTAGCACGACGCAAGTCCTCCTAAACAAATGATAACAATTAATTAAACATTTATATAATTATAATACTAGAAAAGAGTAAATAGACAATATGTATATATATATATATATATATATATATATATATATATATATTACCTTGGTCTCGTGCTGATAGTGGCATAACCAAACGTCTTGGCCAAGCCAAGAATGTCCCGCTTGCCAAGAATGATTCAAACAACGAACACATGGACAATAATATGTCCCTTTCATAGCTTTTCCATTTTCACTAGCAAATTTCAAAAATTCCTCAACTCCCTTTTCGTACTCTTCACTAATACGACGTGCATTCATCCAACTTCGATTCATATTATGTTATAAATTTTCGTCACTCCTAGAGATTTAAAAATTATATGTAAAACAAACAACAAAGCACGTTCCAACAACAATGGAGTGTGTAAACCAATGCACTCAAACAAATAAACAAATAATTACATTCCAATAACAATCCAGTGGAGACATTCATACTATAACGTGATTGAGATCCCCAAAAAAATCACGGATTCAATGTAAACATATAACAATGACATAGAACACTAACCTCGAGTGTAGACGAAAACTGATTTCAAACTCGAATCCAATCTGGGAGAAAAATCAAGTTCGTCAAATGACACGATAATGTAGATGTTTTTCACTGTAAAACTGCTCGAAAATGGTGTGCAGAGGTAGTTGTTGTCGTCGTTCTCAAAAACCCTGGTTGCACGAGACGAGGAAGTGGGTCTGGAGGGAAATAAAATAGACTTTTTACGTCGCGCATCCCAGCACGCGACGTAAAAAGCCATCTTTTACGTCGCACCTGGAGGGCGCGACGTAAAAGATGACCTTTTACGTTGCGCCCCCCAGCACGTGACGTAAAAGTCAATCTTTTACGTCGCGCCACCCAGGTGCGACGTAAAAGAGGCTTTTTACGTCGCATACTGGGATGTGCGACGTAAAATTTTTGTCTCATATTTACAAAATTACCACCGCGTTTTATTTACGTCAAATATACATGCATGCGACGACAATTGGGTGACGTAAAAGCCATTTTCTGCACTAGTAATGCCTCTTTCTACCATCATACACTAGCTCAAGTGTTAGTGAAAAAAGTCGCACAAATAAAACTTAAAATAAAAAATGTTGATTAGAATATCTACTTAATTTTGACTTAGTTCATGTTTTTCATACTAATGCTTATCTTCATCAACTTACTTAAAATGTTAGATATAGGATAAAATAAAATTTACCTATATTTTAAAATTGAACTAATTATTAAATTAAACAGTATATATATATATATATATATATATATATATATATATATATATATATAAAAGATTTAAGGGTTTAATTGTAGTGAGTCATATTTATAATAATTAAATAATACCTTTTTAATTTTTATTATAAAATTATTTTAGATAAAATTAACATATTAAGAAAATAAATACCATTAAATTAATTAATAATGACGCATATTATAATGTATAAAAAAATTGGGTTTATTAAAATTATAAATATTGTTTTGAAAATTATGTTTAACAATTTTATTTAAAGTAAATATCAAGAGATTTTTTATTATTATTTAATATAAGAGAAAAAATATTAAATTATTATTTTAAGTTAGATAATTATTATAAGAGTTAATATTTAATATTTATATATAAAAGTATATAAGTACATTATTCATAAATAAAATAATAAATAAAGAAAGATATATTTACCTGACATATATTTTATTTATTAGAAATGTACATAAAACTTAAAAAAAAAACCTTATCAATAATAAAAATTATGTGAAATATTAAAAAGCATAATTTTATAATATTTAAAACTAAAAGAAAATATGAATTTATAAATTTTTAACATTTTAAATACACGTAACACTTAAAATAAAATATATTATATCGTACTTAATAATATATATATATATATATATATATATATATATATATATATATATATATATTAGTAATATGAATTTGTTGTTGAATAAGAAAATTATAAAATTTTTAAGATTTACTTTCCTATAAAGAATTCAATTTTTTTTATTAAAGATTTCCTTACTAAATCAATTTAAACTAATTTTATTAGTTTTTGGATTTTTTTTTTAAATTTTTTTGATCGATTATTATATATATTCATTCTATAATTTCTTTAAACAGATTACTTACTACATAACAATCCGATTCGAAATTTAAAAAATGTAAATTATCTTTTATAGAAAAACCACTTCAAAATACTTTTCCTTCTTTAATATTTTATCTTCACTTCCTTACAATTTTCACGTTAATGCAAGGATACCATAATAGTTAAATAAAAAATTAAAATACTTTTTTATTCTTAAAATACTTTTGCTATTTTTGATTTTCTGATTGTTTTTTTCCTGATATTTCGTTTAATTTTCGTTAAGATTTTTTTTTCCTATATATGAAAAGTATTATGTTCTTCGTTTAGTCTATGAAATATATTTTAAAAGACTAATAAGTAAAAAAAAAAAATAGAAAGATAAAAATAAAAAAATAATATTTTGTATGATTAAAATTAAGTAATAAAAACTAAAAAAATACGAATAACTAAATATATTGATGAATATTATTTATTTAAAAATCAAGATTAATGATATTTTTATATATTTTTTTATTCTATCAATTTTAAAGAATTAGAATTCCAAAAACAAGAATAATACTTCGAAATAATTGATATTAAGATTTATATATAAATAAAAGTTAAGCAAAAGAATATAAAAATAAAAAATAATTATATATTATGCATGAAAATATATTTCAACCATAAGTAAACAAGAGAATTGTATTGCATTGGGAGTGACTTAAGTTTTTGGAAACATGAATGTCTCATCAAGAGATGAAGTGCCAACCAAGCCACACATCTTTCTTTCAATAGACAAACTGCTAGACCATGATCCTCAGTTTAGGCATAACTGATGTGGAAGAGGTTCATTTTTAAATAATATTCTCTTCTTCATTATCATGGTGAGGTACTAACCAAGGCAAAGAATTAAGAATCATGGTTGATGTGGGAAAAGTTGACAGCTAACTAAAGCAACATCAGATGCATGACCTTCTGTCCTGTTTATTATACTAAGCAATTCAGTTTGTGGCACACATCACATTCTTTTCTGGTCACAACCATGTGCATGGCTTATAAAGTATTGAGAAAACAGTTGTACAATTAGAGAGGAACCTATTGTAAATGGTTTAAAGTGTTGCTAAAAAGTTACAAGGAGAGTGAAAGATGCCTAAAAAATGGTGTTACTTCCTCAGAGAGTTCATGCCATGTGGCAAGAAACAAATGGCGTGACTTCAAATTAGAGCAATGAGTCAGTGTTGTGTAGCTCTAATCATTATAGGCTCAAATATGAAGGTTCTGTTCGAAGCATTAACTTCTGCCAATGGCATCATCTATATCTACCATATGAACCGTTTTCAGTGTCTTTAAGGCATTCTCAAAAGACACAGAAGTGCGTGCAGAAAAGAAAAACACATAAAGTTCATACTTTAAGGATTTGTGTAATGCTAGACATTGAAATTAAATCCTTCATGAATATATAGTATTCGTTTTCATGATAACAGATAATGAACCTTGGTTTCCACCAAAAAGGAAAAAACAACAACACATGATAAACTTTTGTTAATCAATTGCACCGTCAAGACTTCCAAAATCAGTGCATTTTTAAGGAGGAAAATTTGTTTGGTTTGTCGTCTATAATTAATGAATAATAATATCTTTTCAGACTTAAATATATATATATATATATATATATATATATATATATATATATATAATATGAAAAGGGTTTGATTTTGGTTATGATAATTCTATTTTAGTTCTGATTCTTATTAAATATTTTTTATTTATTTTAATTCCTCCAAAATCTGAAATTACTTGTGGTCCTTTAAATTCATTTTAGGGTATATAAATAAAAATGTTTTTTCGAATCCAGAATTTTGATTAGTAGCAAATGTTAACATTATAATACATACACGGACGGAGTGTTGTTTTTATGACTTCTTAATATATATAATTACTAAACTAGTGTTATGGTTAGTCTGAGCAAAAATAAAACTTTTAACTTTTAAAAGGATTAAAGTTAATAATTTATATTATTAGAACTAAAATCAAAATTCATTAGATTTACTTAGATGAAAACAAATTAAAGTTTATCTTTTAAATATTTCTTTAGATATTTGATTTTTTTATTTTTTTAATAATATAAAATAATAATTCTTCTTGATCATTATATATACGAAAAAAAAAATCAACTGATTTTTAAGTGGTTATCTATTATTATAAATTCACATACATTTATCTTATCTAGTATCTGTGAAATGTACGAGTGACAAAAAAACAAATTGTAAGTGGTTCATTGGATGTCTACATCAAATTACATTAGCACAGTCAAGAGAAGAATATAGCATGTGGGTGTTCAACAAAATCACATGATTATTAATGAGAGAAAAGAACAAAAACTGAGATAATAACAAATAATGAACATGAAGGTCTTAAATTAAGGAAGTTGTTGTCATTAAACGAATGTCAATTCTCAATGCTTTGCACCCTGTGTGACAGCTGATCCAAAAAAGCTTGAGCTGTCTGATTCGGATTGGTTGTGAAGGAAAAACATGTTACAGAATGCAACAAAAAATTGTAAGTAAAAAATGAAATCCTTATAAAGAAATACACCTGATTGAAGTCACAACATATTCCTAATGAAAAACAAAGCAGGTTCCTTTCAGTATTATAATATACCTTAACTGATACCTGCCAATATGAGTGTGCCTTAGTCCTAAGGAAATGTATGTAGTGTAGTGCATGCATGTTAATCATTTCTATCTGTCAGTGGTTTATCTCAGATTTACTGCTGAAGGATCTATATGAAGGATACATTTCCCAAGAAGGAAATCTTCACTCAAAAGAAATTTATTGTTTGCAAGAAATGGCAACAGGATCAAAGTTTTTGGACAATGCAATGATAGGAGGTTCTCACTCTCTCACTGCCTCCAACCATCTTCATGTGTTAAGAAGTGGGGCAATGAAAGAAGAGGCACCTGTAGCCACATGGATTGGTCATATCCCTGCAAAGTTCAATGGTTCTGAAGACATAAAAAATGGCAGAGAGAAAAACCAACCCAATTCTGTCTTCCCAGCCTCAGATATAAAAAACAGCTCCATTCCTCTGAATCTTTTGGAAACTCTCCCACCATTAACTATGGCACCGTGTTTTGATGAGTCAGTTGCTTCTTTAGCATCTTCTTCTGCCACACCCAATTTTCCAAACTTGACTTTGTTTTTGCAGGAACCCTCATTGGTGTACTCATCATCCTCAAATATCAAAGGTGGTGAAGTCATATCAGTAACTTCAGACCCCGCATATCAAGTGCCTCACTTTGGCCAAAACCAGCATCAAGCACATCAAGCAGGTGGTGGTGATGCACACAACATAAACAAGAACCTAACAAATTCTCGGTCCAAGTCTTTCAGTGAGAATTGGTTGGGTACCACTAGGACTCAGCCTATGAAGTTTGGTGGAAGAGGGAAGCTGTTTAAAGGGGTGAGGCAGAGACACTGGGGAAAATGGGTTGCTGAGATTAGATTACCAAGAAACAGGACAAGGGTTTGGCTAGGGACTTTTGACACAGCTGAAGATGCTGCCATTGCATATGACACAGCAGCATACATACTAAGAGGAGAATATGCTCAGTTGAACTTCCCAGATCTCAAGCATGTAATCCAGGCCAATTCTCTGAATGGAACCACTGCTGCACTTGTGGAGGCAAAACTACAAGCAATATCACAAGGTGATTCTTCTCATAGGAAGCCCACTGACACACCAGCAGGGTCAAGCAACAAGCACACTGATGAGAATGGCAAATTGAAAAGTACAAATGGTAAGGATTCAACCATGAAGGAGTGGCAGTTTGATACTGAAAGAAGCAAAAGTACACACCATGAGACATCAGATGTGGAAACGGTCCAGTTAAGTAGAATGCCCTCCTTAGACATGGACATGATTTGGGATGAACTTTTAGTCTCTAATTCATGACCACTTTTTTTCTACTTTGAAAACATACACATAATACTGTTTTATCTCAATTATATTTCTCATTTGGACCACAACTTCAGTGTGAAGCTCATTACTTCACTCTACATGCTGCAGTTCCAATGACACAATGAATCATCAGGTTCTATTTTCCTATAATGATATTGAAACTAGTATCCTTCTTACCCTTTGTTCAGAGCCATTTATAGATCGAATTTTAAGTTATGCTGAAGGTTGTAGAATATTTTGCATCTGAACAAATCACTGCCTTGGTTCAAAGGCTCTTTATGAAGCACCTAGTCAACTTTGAGAACAACGGAACAGAATGTAATTTTGAAGAATTATTCACCTGTATTATCCCTTCGCTTAGATTCATAGACAAAAACTAACAGAGAACCCAATAGTATAACCTTATTGTTTTGTGTTTAAAAGCTTGAATACAAGATAAAATATACCAAAACTTTGTCTCCATAACATGTTACTGCAATATTGATAGGTAGAACACTGTGAAACCAATGTTGGAGAATGTGCCTGGAATGGATTCATTACAGTTATGCTTTTGTAACAGTACTCTGGATCTGTGTATATAATAGTTTTATGTTGAAATGTGATTTCCCTTTTCCCAGTTCCTACCCCTTCTAATGCATCCCTCTTAGGTATTTTCACAAATATCAATGACCAAGAAAAGATAAATTATGAGAAGAACACCATCCTCTTTAGTTCAACCAATATACAAATTCTTTTTGAATAATTTAAAATCTCAACTATAGGTTATATAAAAATTGATTTATCTCACGATAAACTATATACTTTTTATATTTTTAGTTCCTTTAAGGTTTTTTGAAAAGATCAATAAATGTTATAAATTTTTATAAGATTTTTATTTTTTATCAAATTAATTAAAAATTAGGTGAAGGATAAAGATATAAAATTGAAAGTAAAGTGACAATTACTAAAGAAAAAGAAAAAGAAAATTATAACTAACAGTATGCTTTAACTAAATTACATCGTATTTTATTTATTAATGGACTTTTGGATTTGAAAAAGAGTGAGGGAAATTCTAACAGTGGAATGAAAAAAATAAAAATAAAAGAATCGAATGTTAAAGAAGGGGTAACATTTGAAACTGGAAAATTATGATTCCCAAAATTTCATTCGCTTTCTGAATTTCTGAATCAAACAAGCAATGATTTTTGTAACCAAATATTATTTCTGGTCTTATATATAATACTCCTTTAGTCATTTCACAGGAGTTAACCTAGAAAACCAGTTTAGGGAATTAAAGAATTTAGTTAATATGATTAGATTTATTGATAATTTGTGTGATTCTCAGAATTAACCTTTTCAATCTGTTAATTTTCTTTCACCTTGTTCATCAACACATCTCCACCAAAAAAATATTTTAGTAAGAAAATACAATGAATGTAGTGAATAGCTTGAAGAGTATAATAAAAAAGATTGAAAATTAAAAAAAAATCTAGAAAAAGGATAAGCAGTAATTAATATATAAGAAACGTTACAGAGAGATTTCAATAATACTTGTTTTCTCTTTATTTATTGTATTATTTATCTTAATTGTCACTTTTTCCATCATTTTATCTCAGTTTTCAGTGTAAAAGAAATTAGATTTCTCTTCTTATTACTATTTTACTATTGAGGAATATTAGTAATATATTTTGTAATTATTTTGCTATATAAAATGATAAATGAAGTTTATTAAATAACTAATAATAACTCTTTCAAAACAAACAATTAATTTTATGATAAATTATTTAAAATGATTTTTTTTTACTGAGATTTGATATTTTCTCAACTTCTAATTGTTTTTAAAAATAAAAACAAATGCCTCGAAAACTAAAAAAGTTTTTTTTTTAAAGGAGAATTGATTCCTTGAAAAATTTGTAACAAATCAATGTCAAAATAAGGTATAACTTTTAATTGAGAAAAATGTCTAATTTCAACAGAGTCACACTAAATTTGTAATGCACACTTTGAGCATATGTTGCCTCTTCAATCATGCTCATGGAAGAAAAGATGGGCTCCATATAAGTTATGAGTAAAAAGTTCTACATCATAGTATTGTTTTGCTAATAGTTTATGCATAACATAAACAACCTTATTGATACAAATCAAAGAGAAACATAACTAAGATTTCTGAGCATAGAACATAATCTGCAGGGTGAAGAGATTTAACCACGATACCACATGTATGAGTGCAAAGGATGTGCCATCTCACGCTATCTAGATAGAAATAATTCACTCATTTCATATCATACCATCCAATTCAGCATCATGCACTTAAAGCCTTAGCTTGCTCAAGTCTAGAACTCACTGCATCCCAGGAAACAAGCTTATCCATGAACACTGATATATAATCAGGGCGACGGTTCTGGAAATATAGCAAATAATTCACAATCAAATTTATCTATTCAACACATTTCTTACTAATAATTCTGTGAAAAATGCTAGCAATACTATGTTACTACACTCTTTTCCGACACACTCTTTTTGGTTGGTAAATTCACATGTCTCTTTAAATTTGTGGATCTCATTTTCAAAAGGGTAGATCTTATTTCTAAATTAGTGACATTCATGTGAATTTCAACGAAAGAATGTATTGGAAGGAGGATGTTGGTAGTTTTTGTCTTAGCTACGATATATACAATGGTTTGAGAAATATAGCACCTGAAAATCAAGGTAGTAAGCATGCTGCAAAAAAATGAGAAAAAATTTACATGGTCAGTAATTTGTTATTGATGATGTTGCAAAGCTTGTGTGTGCAAGTTGTTTCATCAGTAAGAAAAAAAAACATAATTTGATTAATATACCTCCCAAACATCAATGGTAAGAAGTGGCTGCAAGAAATTCAGATGAAATTATATCAGAATTTATCAAGCAAATGAACCTCATCAAACCCAACTATCATTCGCATTTTAAGTTTAAGTAATGAACAATTAGTTCTTACTACTTACATAATAACCTCCCCAGACAAGAGGGTTCACAGCATTGGGACTCTTGATCACCACTAGCTTGTTGTCCTCATTGGGTGAAGGAGGATTTGCTGCATTTTCCCCATCAAATTTGCTTGCTCTATCTATATTTCATCAATAAAAAATGAATGAACAAGAAGAGTATGTAACATGAGACAAGCTTTCTCATGTGTTAAACTTAATACATGAACTAATTTTTAGAAATGATCTCGTTTAACGTTGCTAAAAGATTATTTTAACTCACATGCAAGCCAGGCCCATCCTGAACCGAATTGTGTTGCAGCAGCAGCCTTAAACTCGTCCAGGAATTTTTCAAATGAACCAAAGTCTCTTTCAATTAGTTCAAGAAGTTCCCCTGATGGTTTTCCACCTCCACCTGGTTTCATGCACTCCCAGAAGAAGTCATGGTTCCATACCTGCAATATGCATTACAAGATTAATTTACTACAAAGACATGGTTTTGAAACATGAATGAGAAATTCTGGTTACAAGCATTCATGCCTGTGCTGCATTATTGAAAGATGGAAGAATGTCACCCTTATTGTATGAAGTGACTATAATCTCTTCCAGTGACTTCCCATCAAGCTCTGTCCCAACAACTTGTTTTTTCAGATTTTCCACGTAAGTCCTGTGGTGCTTCCCCCAATGAAACTCAAGTGTCTGCTGGCTCATCACAGGCTCCAAACCATTCTGAAAGATTTCATTATCCCAATATTTTTAGAACTTTCTGCTTTTGCTCCTCTGTTTATTGGTAAATTTGGTTTAACAGATTAGGATGAACAGTAACTAATTTCCACCCCTAAAAGAGCCTTATGTGATTTTGAGTTTGAGAATCATCATCCATTATATATGTGTGTTTAATTAATTAGATTATAGCATAGAATCAAGTCACTTAGTCCATAATGAGTAGAAAAATAACACTAACCACAGTAACTTAGTCCATGCATGTATTGAGAAGCCTGTGTGTGAATCCTTTCTTTTTTTAAGTTTCTTTACTAAATAAGACTAAGCAAATTTTCAATAGAATATCATATTTGAAAATTATAAATGCCAAGAATTCTCTATTCAATGTGCAATTAGAAGCATAGCTCCACTAGAAAATGACAATGTACTCTAACTTGTAAAACATGAAAACTTTTAGGTCTCTTTACCAGTGGATATGGTGGCGGCTTCAGCTCAAACTTTGCATTGACTTTTGGACCCTGCAATGTACAAAATGCTTTCTTAAATAAAAGGACAAGGAAAACAACATGTGTCTTAACATGTGAAGCACCCACAGGATTTGACATAAGAAAAGAAGAAAAGATAAAGTCAATGGGCTCTGTTTATTTCATCTTGAGTTTTGTTAAAACTGGATGAAGGGTGATTCTATTTACACTCATTTGTTCTCTTTACTCCTCCAATCTCATCACCTCTTCCACAACCTCCTTTTGTATTCATACCATTCCACCCCTCCCTTTGCCAGGGTCACTCCTATTTTCCCCAATTCTTTTTAGCTAGTACAACTGTCTCAAAAAAACCTTAAAAATACATCAAATGCATTTCAGAAATTAATCTCTGAAATTCATTTAATTTATTTTGGAATTAACTTTGTATATATTGATAGGCTCACAATCAGAGTTACCCTACATAACTATTTCACTGAGAAATCTCTTGATGTTACATGGAAGAAGTATTCATGTATTTAATTTTGAAACGACATGATCTATGTTAAATGTTTTCATTCTAAAAATAAGTTAACAGTAAAATTTTATTTTTATTTTTATTCAAATACAATTACCTGACACATGTTTCAATTCAAAATCAGCTATAAATATCAGAATTAACTTTTCAATATAAAACCAAACTAGATTATCTTCACAATAGAAAAAACAATGTTGAATTAATACCTCTTTGAAAAGAAAATTGATGCCACTAACATTTTGTAACCCTGCAAAGTTGAATGAAAAGGCACGAATTAACATTAAGAATAGAAAATCTTAGTGAATGCAAAAGTATAGATAGAGTTTGTGAAAGGGAACCACCCAATGAGGCCATGGCTTCAGAAGCGTGTGGCAGGAGTGAGGCTTTAGGACAAAGGTCAAGCTCTTCCTAATTTGCTAACCAATATAGCACAAGAAAACATGTGTTAATTAGTACAATTCCGATGTTGTACTACACTATGTTGTGCTGGTACGTACGAGCACCACAATGCCCCAGTAGTACAGGTTTCTACATGATTATCTAATTATCTAATATCTTGCAAGTAAAAAAGAAAAAAAAAATAGCAAATTAGAAATTGCTTGATTCCACCTACCTGAATGAATAATCTTCAAGTTTGATATATATATCATTTTAAGAAACACACTTGTTGTATTTGCTAGATGAAGAAATAATAATTTCTAAACTATGAATTATTTTGGATAAAAGAAAGAAAACTAAAACATCTTAATCTTAATATTAATTATTAGTTAAATAAGATAAGAGTAAAATAATGCCTGCAATACACATATTTCTTTTAAATTATACTAATTCATTATGGACTTGCAACAAATTTTGGATAGGATGTTATTGCTTAATTATTTTATATTTATCTTAATCTTATAGATCTATCTTCACATATTATTTCCTATTTAAATTGAGGTTAAGTTATACTAATTAATTAACTATTAAATTATATTAATTAATAATAAATTCTTGATAATATTATTTATATTAATTACTAATTATATTTTTAAATTAAAATCATTAAGACAATACATGAATAATTTTATAATTTAAGCATAATTTAAAAATAATCATATTAAAAAGTTCAATTTAAATATATATTTTACTATTTCAACATGGATAATTTTAATTTGAAAACACTTATTATTTTTTAAGTAATTATTTAATGAAATAAGAATATTATTTCTGATAACAAAATTTAAATATTATTTATATGCATAACTCGACTTCTGATTCTATAGTTACAAGAATACAAGTAAACCCTAGATAGTTATAACTACAATATATAGAAGTTTAATTCTACTTTTTTAAAATTTTATCTAATAATTAATAAAAATGTAATAAAAGTGTGATATATATTTGTTGAATAAATTTAGGAGAAATATATATATATATATATATATATATATATATATATATATAAAACATCATAAATAATATATTTGTGATGACTCATAAGCTCTAAAATAATAATATTAATAATAATAATTTGACTTTATTGATTTTCAAATCTTAGACATAACATTTCCATGAAATCGATATGATAGTGTTGTTACACGTAAAAAACAAGATGAATGTGTATGGTTCAACGATCATGTACAAAGTATTCTCTGTACGAGCGAGTCTTCCAAACCAATCAAAGCTGAGACTTTTTCGTTGGATCAATCTCACAAGAAAACATTCAAAACATAAAGTTTTAGTCACAACATGCTCAAACACGTAGCAACCATAACAACAATATAGAGAAACTTAAGTGCATCTCTTGCACAATAATTGGTAATTCCTGCTGAAAAATGTATGTTGTTCTTTGAGGAAGGAGAACGTGGAAGTGCGACAGTGTTTGCATCTGATCCAGCCACAGCCTTAGGTGCTAGAGTGGGAGCAAGTGATTTGTCATCACCTTCTACATGAACGTCAAGTTTCATCCCTCCAAGACAATACAACTTGTTTCCGCTCACAAAATATCTGTCTCCACCTTTTGTCAATGGCACTGTTGTGTTCCCATTCCTATATGTTGCCAAAACATTGGTTGTGTTGCATCTGTCAAAGCTTTCTTTTGTAACCTCTTCTACACTTTGTCCTGATGAGTATTGGAAAACTGAAAAACCAAATAAAATTTTTCAAATTGTTGTCAATTTAAGTATATGATCTTCATAAGAATTTCTATTGAGTTGAAGATGTTAAAAACTTACCAAGAGCATCCCCTACTTTGAACTTCTTATCTGCAATCCATGTATCAAAATTTGTGCTAATATCCCAGCCAGAGCTATCTCCAACAGTATAAATAGTGGCTGAACTTGTGAATGTGAAAACTGTCAAACAAAATAGCAGAGAATAAAAAATTAAGAGTAATTTTTCCATGTTGATAAGAGTTTTAACCATTTGGACCACTAAAGGTCCATCTTATATGCTTGAAGTTTGATAACCTACCAGAGACTAGATTAAATATAAAAAATTAAAAATTAAAAAAGAAGAAATATTATATAATGTATTTATTTCATCAGGTTGGTGTACTGAAAAAAATATGTTAGTTAGCAGTGGTTAAACTGCCATCAAGTTAAGTCATTTATTTTTTACCATCAAGCTTCAACTATTAATTTTTTTAAGTATTAATTAAATAAAATATAAATATTATTAAAATATCATATTTTAATTTTTTGTTGTTTTTATTTAATATTTTAAATAAATAACAAATTCAAACAAAAGTTAGACTTTGTGTTGATTATTATTGGTGCAACCATTGCATTACTTTCTGGAAAAACCTTGCTCATAATAAATAAAGTAACGTTTTTCTACTAAATAACATTATTTTATTCAATATAGTTTATACAACTTAATTTTATTATGCTTAATTTTTTATTGGCATATAACGAATGATACATACAAATTTTTTTATATGATTTTGATCTTTTAAAATATAAATATATTATCATTTTTATTTCTAATTGTAATGGATGATGTACATGAAAGAAGAAAAAAATAAATAAATAATAGACGTGGAGTAGTATTTGGTTATATTTTTCTTTTTGGGTAAACCAATTATTTTAACTTTTACGGGCTACCTTCTTTAAATTTGAGCCTGCTAACTTATTCTTCATAATGGGCTCAAAAGCCCGTTACGTTTGTGAAAAAGAAAAAACACACAACGAGAGCAATTAGGTTGGAATAAACCACCAATTTCATTCATGTAATATTTAAACGATGATGAGTTAGTCCTCAAAAACACATTGTAAAATAAATTTTTCTAGATTATTTTATCATTTTGTTATCCACAATTTAGTCAGAATTTGAAAAAATAACTTTGTTAAATACTATATATGTTACAAATAAGTTAGAGTTTATAAAATTAAAACTAAATGAGTAATTAAACCTAGAATAGATTAGGGTTTAGGGTAGTATGATTAACTAAGGATAATGTTTTTATTAGGACTTGTGATCGGTAATTAGATTTGTTGAAAGAAAGATAAAAGAATTTATAAATAAAAAAAATAATAGCTTTATTAAAAATATATTTTGCTTTTCAAAATTAATATATGCGATAAATTAAAGATTATTAAAAATGACTAAATTCTACTTAAAAAAATAGCACACTTCCAAGCTATTTGTAATCTACTATTTGTGACAGATTGTGTGCATATTTCAGAAATACTTGTGCAAATTCTAAAACAAAGTTTCAATGAATTTGAGAAGAAAAGATTTACAGTTTTCCTGCATGATCCATGTTGTGTTCTTCTATCGTCCATTCCCTAGTGGTTCCAAAATCTGATTATGCAAATTATAGAACCTAGAAATTGTACTGCTACTACCACTAGTACCATCTCCATGATCAACAATGTTAAAGTGAGAACGTTCTTTGAGAAAGCTCTCTGTTTCTTCTTGGGATGCAACATCTTTTGCTACTCCTAGTGAATGTTTTTCCATGACCCTTATTCCCTCCAACTCCATTGCCACTTCTTTCATGCTTGGTCTTTCTTCTCCTTTCAGCCTAAGACACCTTTTGGCTAGATTGGCAACTTCTATTACATACTCAACACTTGCATCACTCACAATTTCCTTGTCCAATATTTGATCCAACCGACCCTCATTCATTGTAGAAACAAAATACATAGACAGATTTCTCTGAGTCTGAGGCCTGAAAAATGAAATTGCCTTCTTGCTTGTCAATAGTTCTGCAAGGACAACACCAAAGCTGTAAACATCACTCTTCTCGGTTAGTTGGCTTGTTTGGAAGTACTCAGGGTCAAGGTAACCCATTGTTCCTTGCACCAAAGTGGTTAACTGGGTTTGATCAAGAGGAACAAGCTTTGAAGCCCCAAAGTCAGAAACCTTGGCTGTGAGGTTGTCATCAAGAAGAATGTTTGCAGTTTTAACATCTCTATGAATGATTGGTGTGGAAACAGAATAATGCAAGTATGCAAGAGCCTCTGCTGTGTCTGCTGCAATTCTCAAACGTGCTGTCCACGAAAGTTTGTGCTTATCTTCACATGCTTCACCTTCAAAATGTAGATGCTCACAAAGGGTACCATTAGTGATGAACTCATAAACAAGTAAGGGAAACTCTGTCTCCAAACAACAACCTAGTAGTTTGACAACATTCCTATGGTTGATTTGGGAAAGCACAACCACTTCGTTGATGAATTGCTCAATCTCAGTTTGGTTGGATACCATGGACTTCTTGATGGCAACAACCCTGCCATTTGATAATATACCTTTGTACACAGTTCCGTGGCCTCCTTTGCCAATGATTCCAGCATCATCATAGTTGTTGGTGGCTTTCTTGAGCTCCTCAACAGTGAAAATTGTGGCTCTTTCAGTTGAGCCATTGAGTGAATCAATCTTTCCTTGCAATAACATACCACCATTTTTTAGAAAATAGTTGTCTCTCATTTTCATGAGCTTTCTTTCACGGATCTGGGGGTATATGTTTAAGCATCCCACAACCACTGCCAATAGACTTAAGCTCAAACCTGCAAACAAGTTACATCCTTTGTTTTCAGGGATTTGATTTGACTTCCCACAAGGTATTTATCAGTAAACAAACAGTTAATAGTTCACACTTCTCAGTTGGAAAGAAAATATCTACTTATGGTAAAAAGACTACCATTAAAGTTATATACACAAGAAAAACTGTTCCTACAAACTAGTAAGAAACATGGTGCGTGATTATGTATGTTTATACTTACTCAATCCAATTATAAGTATGAGATTATCTATGTATTTGTCTTTTTTGGGTCTGCAACCTTGGCCATTTTTCAATCCATCTCCTTCTTCGTGGCTCTTTGAACATGAGCACTTATAACCTCCTCCAGGGACGATTTTGCAGCTTTTCTTGTAGATGCAGGGATTGGTGTTCAAACCGCATACATCACTATCTGATGAAGCATCAAGAAAAGTATTAAACTTATTGCGTACCCTTTGATTAAGTCTTTTAAAATGAATGGAATGAGTAAAGGAAATATAAAAAACGTTTCTTTTTATTTTCATTTGACATTTCAAGAATGCCATATTAGTTTAAAAACTATTTAGAGACAAAACATTGTTTTATCATTTTCTGTATAAATTTTTATGACCAAGAAGTTTATGTTTTTTATATATATCATCAATCAATTAGAATAGTCTTACATATATTTAAATTCAACTCTTTAAAACGTGGAATTCATAAAAAATCTAAGTATTCAGGTTTCAATCTCTAATCTTGTTCAACTCTGTGATCAAGTTTGGATCCACGTACGTTTTTCAAAATTATCTTGTTCAAACAATTATTGAACGCAAAATGATAAGACGATGATTGATTGATGGCAATCTAGGCTCATTCATGCATTCAAGCTGGCAAGTTACTATTAAGAAAATGACAGGTTACAAATTAATTGACCTAACATGAATTTACGAGTTAGCCAAGTCAATTAGGTCAACTTAGTGCTCCTATAGTTGTATTAGCCAATTTTAAGAAAAAATTATTATTGCCCTTAATTTAAACTAAAACATATGCATAATGCCTTTATTTTTATTAACCCACTTAAACTAAAATTATTATCCATTTTTTATTATAAAATATCGTAAACAATACATAATTACCTAATTATAAATTGCCATATATTCATAATCATTTTTAGTTGACTAAAATTGTATAAAAAAAAATATGGGCATATAAAAAAAGTAAATTCTTTGAACATATACTACAAAATACAGTTTTCACATAAGAATCAAGTTACTTAAGGATAAGTCTAAAAGAATTATTAAAAGTTGCCATCTTTTTAATTTCATTGAATTTAAGGTTAAAAAGTGAGGTATTTATAAGAATACGAGTTTCCAAGTAAAGTAAAAAACTAATCCAAAATTTAGAAATTACCATGGCAACCATCGTGGAGGTAAGGGTTTCCACCATGATGGCATCTGCAACGATAACCAATCCCATTTGTTGGATGGAGGCAATCACTGTTCTTATCCTTGCAAGCATAGCTACTAGGATGTTGTCGGGCCTCTTCGCAGGTTTCATTTCCCACACCCCAATCAAGGACCAAGGGCAACGTCGTATTCTCGAGCCTCCTAAGGTTTCCTGTTTCGAACTTGTAATACCCTTCAGCGACCGTAAACGCATAGTTACAGGGATTGAAGTCACGTACGGTGGAGTGGTTGTTCATACTCCAACTTTGCATTGCAAAACCATGTACTCCACTAGGAACACCAATTTGGCAACAGCCAATGCCATCGCATGATCCATTACTTTTGATTTCACTAACTGTGTCACATATGGATACACACCCTGTTGTTGCAACATGTTTTTTGCTGCTATCGTAACCCATGAATACTCCAACCGTGTCACAACCAAGTGCTGTGAATTTGTTCCTAGTTGGCGAGATTGAAAAGTGGGTGAGATTGAGACCATTTTGGTTCTCTGAACTATTGTTTGTGGTGCCATAGCAGTCATGGATTATGGGACTTGAAACTAGAATTTCCCCATCTTCTAGTGATATGTTGAGCACCACTACGTTGCTTCTTCCCAACAAAGGAATGAACTTGGAGGAGTTATTATCATGGTAGCAAGTGATGAGAAAAGTGTCGTTCATGTAACAACCCTCGCCTGTCCCAAAAGGGTAAGGAATGTTTAGATTGCCACAGCTTTTGGGGCAATCTGAAGAGGGTTGAGGTGCTGCTTTTGATGCTATTAGGGTAACAAGAATTAGTTGAATGAGTTTCTTCATAGCCATGACTTCACCAATATCCCTTCTTGAGCTTATCGTATAGTGTGGTGGGTCTTTTATTGCCCACACAATGTTCTCAAAAAGGTTTTGATTTGGTCTTGTGTAAATGTCAATGTTGTTCACTTTCAAAGCATGCCATATAAATGGATATTATGCAAACCCTAGTATAGCTTTTGGTTTTAGTTGGATCAAACGAAAGTCGTTGCGGGTCAATTTTTTCAATTTTCATAAATAGTTCATTTAATCTTTATGATAATTTATTTAATTGAAGTTTCATATTTAATGAGGATTGGAAAAAAATAGATCAATTGTTTAAGACCGTGCACGAATCCTGGTTCTTAAATGAGTTAGGTATGTGTCATATGTAAAATAAAAAAAATATTTAAGTCAGAGAAAATCTATAAATAAATAGATAGGTTCTTGAACCAAATCTATAAAAATATACAGACTTTATTTGACTAACATGCCCTTCTTACCTAAAATATTAGGGTTCATATTCATAGAAATTAATAAATCATATTATTTAACAAATATTGATTATTAATAAAATCAATAAATATTTGTTACAACGTTGAAAAAAAATACACAATTGAATACGTAATATTCTACTTACTGTTTGTTTATTTTACTTTATAAACATATAAAATTGCAAAATATACTTACATTTTTATCTTGTTAAATATGACATTTTTAACCAACATCTTGATGTTCAATTTCATATATAAAAGAACATAAATATACATATGACTACAAACTAAAACAATTTTCTTACATTTCATGATGATTAATTCTCAATAATGTTTATAACTACAAAAAATAACTCGCGGTATGATTAAAAACTTAGAAATAATTGAAACAATTAAAGAATATGACGTGGGCATTTTAACATGGTTAACTATTACACTTAATAACTATTAACTAAAATTTCTTTCGATTTATTGAATCTTTTTCAGCACCAAATTTTTTGGTGGAAGTTTCTTCTGCAGTGACAATAGGTAAGAAACCCACTTGAGTACCATCACTATCACTCTCAATTTCCCCTTCAAGACTTAATCCTTCAATTCTTGCTCCAATGGGATCTCCTATGATTCCCACATCTATTAAGAAGAAAGAAGAAAAAATTAGTCAAAGAGAAGAAAAAGTAGGTCACATTTTTTCTTTCTTAAAATGTTATAAATAATGATACAAAATGTAATAAAAAGAAAATAATATTAATTAGGACAGATAACATTTTAATAAATGTTAATCTCTTGCTATTTCACAAACCTTTTCTATACACTTTTAGGAAAATATTATTTACTGAAATTTATTAAAAATTAGAAAACTGATGTTCCCACAATTTGTTTGACGTCTCTTTTATTTTATTATTTTTTTAATAAATTTTAACCAATAATATTTTCATAAAAGTGTGTCGGAAAAATATATATATATATATATATATATATATATATATATTTTTTTTTTCACTTATTTCAGTTAAAAATTATTAGCAAATTTTGTAAGTTTCACATCTTATTTTAAGGACATCTCTTCTAAAATTGTAGATTTAATTTTATTTAACTAAGAGCCATTATATATAGAAAAATGTTTAAACACCCTTCCCATATCTAACTTCCTATAAGAAAAAACTAGCTCACACTAACAAAGTTAGTAAGTAACATTTAATTTTATTTATTTAATTTTAAAATGTATTTTTTTCTTAAATTGTCTTGATTTAGAATTTAATATCAAAAACAAAATCAATTCATTAAAATGAAAAATCCCATTAAACAAAAAATATTTAAAAATAATTTTATTAGAAAAGATAAAAATAATTAATATATATATTTATATTTAATATCAACACTCAATTTAAAAAAAAAACATTATAAAAAGAGTTAATTATAACTCGACCTTAAGCGCTTTTTATCTCTTATAAACATCATTTGACCTATAACTTAAAATATGATTTAAGTAAACCTAACACCCATTTTTCTTCAACATATTAAAATATTAAACTTTTATATTATATTCAACCTATCTATTTCGTGTTTACACAAAAAAAAAAATCTCAATTTTATAACATCAAGAGATTGCATTCAACCATTATCGATTGTTAAAAATCAGAATAATAAATGATTAGAAACAATTAATACATAATTCAAATTCTACAAAATCAATTATACAGTAAGGATGGTATCAATTTATATATTATATTATTATTATTGTATTTTTAGTTGATATACAATTTTATTATATCTTTTAATTTTAGGAATTTTTTTAATAGTCCTAGTATCACTAAAGATGACTTTATTATCATATTAAAGTTTTTAAAATATTTAACTCAATAAAAAAAATAATAAAACGATATTATGTTTGTGTATATAATATAAACTCTAATAAATGTGAAATTTCTTTAGGGATGGCAAAATGGGTCATGCCAGTCCAGTCAATCCGTTGACAGAGTGACCAGACCGCATGATCCATCTAATTAATAAAAAAATAATTTTTTATTATAATAAAATTAATTATAAAGATAATATATAAAGTAAAAAATTAAAAAAAGAGAATTAAAAAAGTTTCATTTTCAGTAAACACAACATTTTCTCCTTATTCATTCTAATCCCTGATTATTTTTATCCTTATTACTTGAATTAAAAATATAAAAATTACTCAACCATTAAATAATTTATTGGGCCGATATTTGTTTTCATTATATAGCTTACTTCAAGTAATTTTTTTCATCACCAACAAGAAAGAACAAGAAAGAAGAATTTAATAGTTGAATGCATGATTCACCTGGATTTGAGAAGACCCAAAGAATGATGGCACAAACAATTAGAACAAAAGGGATAACATGAACTGCATTTTCTGCAAACTTCACACGTGCCCTCTCCTTCTTAGCCAAGTCTGCAATGGGGTCATAAGTTGGCAAATGGTTGCCATCAAACATGGAATAAGATGATCTGTGTCCTGAAGATGCAGAACTCGTGGCATGCTTGAAATAGTCATCGGAAAACCTGTTCCAGCTCGCAGACCTGTGCATCTTAATTACTTACTTTCTTGATTATTTTTCAGAATATTATGTGTGATTATCTTGGATTTTGAGGACCACAAAGGGTCATAAATTGTCAAAATAATTCAAACAAAGAAACTAACTCCAAACAAAGATGAGAAAAGTCTCCACGAGAATGAAGCCACTTTCAATGACTTCGGTCATCTTTCTTCTCCCTTCCACTCGTACACCCTCTTACCAATTCAATCACCATATTTATTGCGTTTTCCCAACAAACTATAATTAATTAATATCGATTTCTCTTTCTCCATAATCAATTATTAATTGTTACATGAGTTCCTAAATTTAGAGTATTTCATATCTTTTCTCTCATCATTTTATCAACCATCAATTAATTATTATTACTTAACCACTAATCAATTGCCATGTTAAAAATTGTGTCTTTATTGATGTCCAAATAGAATGATAATCCACCTTGGTCTGCTTCATGAGCTCATAAAAATCTGAATACTAAAGCTTAAACATTGAAGGTTATTATTAAGTATTTAATAATAAAAATGTTTAAAATATTTGCTTAATTTGAGCGTCATTAAATAAGAAAACACAAAGAAAATCTAGCCATCGTAAGAATTTAGTAAATATGTTAAGACACAAAAAACGTTGAAAGAGGTAAAGTTTGATTTTTTTTTTTTTTTTTATTGACTGTAACGAATAGAAAGGTAATAATAATTCTAAACCCTGACTTAATTAAAAAATAAAAAGTCAACTAAAAAGTCAACATCACCTCATTTGTCATTAGATTGTTGGGCCGATGGATTGTACGGACTGAATTCCATAGCCCAATCCAATATGATTTAATAAATGGGTTAACCCTGAGCCCAATCCATTGAACCATCTATTAAGTTATTTAGAGTGAAAATAATAAAATATCTATTAAGTTAATCGCCAATCATTAACAATCTTTATTATGTAAAAAATACATTACCCTAAGTATATAAATTTCAAACTTCTACTAAGTTTTCTCATTTCATTTCTTTAGAGTTTGTCGCGCTGCACCGCGCCACGCCGCTTATAAACCCTAACTCTTGATATCTACAAAAAATTGATCCAATTCGTTCTTAATTGTGGAACATCAAACCCTACCTAGGTACTTTTTGATAACTTCAGTAAGAGTATAGTTTTATGCTTTAATCTTTGTATCTCTGTTACCAGCGAATACGAATTTCCTGTGTTCTGATATAGAAAACATAAATCATATATATATATATACTCAAACCTTTTATTCAATAGAGATAAATATTTTATGAAAATCAATTGGTTGATTCAATAAAATTTTTTTGATGAATTGAGTATTAGGTTATAGTTTAATAAGAAAATCCATAACCCATTAGGTCATTATTTTATTCAAGAAATGGATGAAGCAAATTAAAAAGAACTTGGTGATTCAACTCATTTGAATTAGAGGTGACTAAGTCTTCAATTCAAGCAACCCAGAAAACTAGTGGAGGAAAAGTTGACCAAGAGTCACTATTTTATTCAAGAAATGGATGGAGCAAATTAAAAAAATGGCTAATATATTGTTGTTGTTGTTTATATAAAATGAAATTTATTTTGTTTATTTAAATTTTTACCTAACTTGTTTTTTTTTTCATGTATCATTACAGTTTTGAAAATCAGATTCAACTCAATTGAATTGGTGGTGGCCAAGTCTTCAATTCAAGCAACCCAGAAAACTAGTGGAATGAAAAATTGACCTAAGAGCCTGCCGAAGCTAGGTAAATTCATGGCGGACAAAAAAATGGTTTGATTAGTATTTTATTTTTTTTGTATTCATATTTTTTATTTTAATTTTTTTTATCTGAATATTAAATAAATAAATAATCCTATATGATATTTACGTATAGATTGATATTCTTTAATTATTTATTATGATTTAATTATCTTGTAAGACATTTATTCTGATTTTTTAAAATCTTTTTAAAATTTTACTCAACTTTTCTTATAATTTTAGTCTAGTTTACTACTTGGTATATATTGACCAGGTGAACAATGCTTATTTAACAACTACAATGTCTTTGGCATTATCCACTGTGAAGGTGCATGCACTCGCAAAATCCCAACATGGCATAATCGGTGACACAAGCTTTGGTTTGGGATGATTTTATAGCAAACACAAAATTTGAACAGTGACACTAGGAGGGTAATTAGTTTGCTTTACTGCACCACTGGCGTGTCACTTGATTAGGTTCTTCACGTTAGATAGCATCACTGCTATATTTTTAATTATGGTTTTGATGATTTCTTGCACTGTTTTCCATTGTAGGTTTGTTGCTTCAGATAATTTTTCATATTTCATGGTTCAGAAATGTTAGATCACCTAGCAAGAATGCAAGTTGCAGCTTATGAAAGGTAATTTCCAGTTCCATAAGAACTACTCCAGTTTCCCACCACCCCATAAAAGTGATGCAACATAACAAATGCTGATGTCGACTGTATGTTTACCCATACAGTCGACATGTTTGGAGGTATTTATCTGCAGAACAGAAGCTTGCTGCATCACTGAGTCTTGACCGTTATTGCAAGCCTACAGAGTTCTACAACTATCTCAAGGATCGTGCTACCGAACACGTACTCCATCTGCCATTGTTAATTAATTATATTTATGTGATTGTTTATAACTTTCATTGGGATATATTACATGAGTCAAAGGGCTGGGTTTATTATTGGTATTCCATTATTTGTTTTTAGTATTGTAGTACTTCTTAATCCCTCTTTTTTATCTCCTGATCTCCCCATTTCTTTTCTCTGACCATAATGTTATATTGCATGTTGTATTCTAATGATATGCATGCCTGTTTATAGCCAAGATTCCTTCAGAGATGTTTGGACTACAAGATAAAGGCTAAGAACAAAAAGAGGTACAACATATTATATATAATCTTCCTTTAACTGATATTTTATGTTTAATTATGCTATGCTTAGTAGAATAACTGTTTCTAAGATTTTTTTTTTTTTGTAATTTAAAATATTGACTAAATTAATGCATTCATATCAAAATATTGTTTCAAAATTCTTGGAGAAAGATTCAGATGATATTCAGCTTTAGGGTACACCTAATGTACAAAACAAGCAAAATAGTTCTTCTAAGCATTCCTTTCTGTCAAACAAAAGTTCATTGATCTAAGTGAAACTGGATTTATATTAATGAAGTCTTAGATTCAAACTTTGTGAATAGGAAAAAAAATGGATTCAGGTTTCGTACGTACTATTTTAAAAAAAAATAAAAGTATATCATCCATGTTGTAACGGTAACTGACAATCTTGTTTAGTATGAGATCATGTTTAAAGATAGATGAGGTTTCTGTCATGCAGACTTGTAATACCTTTACTTTTTGCCATTAACTCTAATGACATTTTTCTTTTTCCGAAATGGTTACATTTTGCCAAATTATAGGGATTTGAAGTCATTGTTTTCATTCTGCCACTGCCTTATTTTACCTGATTGCAGTTTAATATAAACATCAATATATTAACGAGATATCTAATTTGAAAAATAGGGTTCTAATGACAGTTTCTCTGGCATGGGAAATGGATGAAACTCGGTCTTTGTTTCCTTTGTGTATCTCTCTGGGAAAAGAGGAGCCAAACGAGGGACCTACAGGGGTACGAATAGTGCCTCTTAAGATTAATTAATTTTCTATTTCTTACACTTATTAACTTATTATTGTATTAACATTTTCTTCTGCATAAAACTTTTTTGTTTCAACTTCAAAAGGCAGAAAAGTTCTGTCTTGGTACCATGTTCACTTTTTTAGGTCCAACAGGATCTGACGAGAGTGGGAATTGTTTCATCAAAGCAAATTTTTTGCTTCCTCAACATGAAATGATAGCTGTGGAAAGTAATTCTGAGAAATATTTTCTCTTTATTTTCGCCTCTGGTATGCATATGATTGTTTTGATCCAAATAACATGAACAAGTATAGCTCCATTTTCTTGCTAAACTCCGTATTATAACTATTTTCTTCCAGCGGAAAACCCAATTTCATTATCTACAGTCAATGCGAGCACGTTGCCTGTGGAGGAGGCTTCTAATGAATGTGAGATATGCTTTAATTGCTAACTTCTCATTCAAATTATGATGATTTTGTTATTGAAAAAGGTGATTTTTGAACTTCAATATGTTCATATAACTCCTTATTTGTACTCTACAGCGTCAGGTGGAGAGAAATGCCTATATGAAAAAGTATCATTGAAATGTCTTTATGACATTTTGAAATTATCTCCGAAATCTTATTTGCATCATCGAACCGAGATTCTGTCCAGCTTTAATTTTACTTCTTGTATTCTGAAGGTATGACATCTAATTATATCTGGTTGGTTAATGCTCAATAACTTTTTGCTCTTTCATTTTGTCTAACAATCTCTTTCAAGCTTTTCATCTGTTCTTCAGTGTTCACAATTGCGATAGATATAGCACTTAAACTTTTTTTTTTTTTTTTAATGTTGCAGTATTGCTTACAACAATATAAAAGAGAAAAAAGCCGAACCATCTGGGTTGGCAAAGCCAATGATTCTCTGATGGAGGTTTGTTCTAGCATCAATATCATCTATCCACCAAGCAAAACATCCCACACATAAACATCATAGTAACTCAAGTTCTTTAAAAGAGAACTTGTATTAACTGCTTCTTGTTTCTTTTCTCGTTTCTTTTAAAGGGACTGAATTGGGTTAAGAAGTTTAAGGGATTTTAATCTAGTGATGATTAATATTATAAATAATTTAAATAACTCTTATGATATTCAAATAAAACCTAACTCATTAATAGATAACTTGTATTGACTGTTTCGTGTTTCTTTTCTGGTTTCCCAAAGGGTGAATCCAAGCCAATTCATATCTCAACTGGTTTTGAAACTTTTGGAGCAGCTAGGAAACCACCTCCTCGCCGGAGACAGAAGAGGAGACATGAAGGATCTTCGTCGTCATCATTATCTCATATCATTTGGTAAATTTCATTATCTCAGTCATTGAGGTTTTAGTGAGTGTTAGTTCTTCATCTTTGAATTATTTTTATTATACATTCTTTTGGGTTTTTAGTAGCTAAACGTACTGAACTACTAATTGCATGCATGATTCAGGCAGCGAGGAACTGTTGCATTTGAGTATAGGTATGACATTTTAACATTTTGTGATGTTTTTTTTGAGATTTTCTATTTTTAATAGAAGAAATGGTGATCATTCTGTTCTGTTTGTTTTAATCAAAATTGTTTTTCTAAAAATGATTACAGATACTACCATGACAGGTTGCACGAGATCGAAGGTAATTTGAATAATGTTCTTACTTTTTCTCTTGCTTATTTATTTGATTTCTTCTTAAATTAATTAATGTAAACATATTAGTTGCTAAAAGAAGTTAATGCACGTTAGAATATATAGGCATGGATGTTAAAAATATATGTAGTCAACTATTGATGTAAATATCAATTATCAGGTTAAACAAGCAGTATAAAAATATTACTCACAATGCTAATAATTGGAAAAATAGTTTATATTTATTTTAAATCTAAAAGTATGTATTTTGTTCATCTTTAATAAATATAAAATAAAAAAGAAAACTAGGTGGCTAATGAATAGTAGTAGCATTACTGTTACAATGTTTACATCACAGGCAATTAGTTTGTATTAACTGAAAGCTTTGATTGCAGTTACTGAAAATTTCACCTGTGCAGTTTGTTTAATTCGATGTGCAACATACAAGGTTAAGACTACTTTTGATTACTCATTTAAAGCTCTATATTTATCAGTTGATAATATAAACCTGTTTTTAATGTTTCTGATGACATTACTGTTTTAGGGCTTAAAATGCCACCTAACATCATCGCACGAGTTATTTATTTTTGAATTTCCGGTAAGTAATTAATATTCAAAACTCTTGCTAGCTATATGATCACTAAGTTGTGGCAAGCCATGGTTTCATGTATGAATAACTTTGCAGGAATCAGAAGAATATCCATTTGTGTCTGTGTCTTTGAAGAACCCTAACTGGATACCACCACAGGTCCGAACAGTTTGCCCTCAAACTTCTGTAAATCTATTAAGACTCTTAATATCTTTTTATTAAGACAAAAAAACAGAAAATGCAAATCATAAGCTACTTTGTAAAATGTGATGTAGAATGAATGGCATAGAGTACTCCTCTAGGGTAGAGCGCTCCTTCTATCAGATTTCAAATAACATCCAAGGAAAAAACAAAATCTCAATATTATAATCATTTTGAAAGTTTTGAATAACGTTAGACATCTAAAATACATTTTAGATCTCGTTTTTGTCGAACTCGAGATATGTGTTGCTTTGTAAGAGAGTAAGTTTAATAGCTACAGCGTTGTTGTTCTGGTACATAATAGCTTAATCTTGTAGGTTTGCTTGGTTCCTTTCGATAGTATTATACCATGGATGTATTTATAGTTTGTTCCTCAAATTTATTAATTATTTTTTTCTTCAAATTGGTGAACAGTGGGTTGATCCAAGATTAGATACTTTTCTGTATTGGTAAGTAATTTCATTTTCATTGTTCTGAAATCTCAGCCCCTCATTCAGATTCATGTTAAAAAAACATGGTCAACTAACAATATCTCGGTGCAGTGCCAAGAAACCAAAGCGCAGAAGGTTGGATACTATATTTCATGGAAGAAATGATACAGACGAGGTGATCTCAGATGCTGAACTTCCTACTGGGGATACTCAGCAATTGGAGAATGTTGGTGTGTAGCCTACTACTTTTGCAACTATCTCAAGTATTTTAGTGGTGTTACAATTTATGTTCTACGTTACACAGCTTGCAAAATTTGACAGAACCCAGTCAGAATTTGACATGAATTAAGGGGTGAAAGTTGGATTATGTCTAGGACTTGGTGACCTCTAATCCCATCTAGGAATTAACAACGAATGCCAACTCAGTGTCTGCAAATTATTTCTTTGCCAAGCAGTAAAAGGTTAACTATATAAACCAGGAAGTGTTAGGGTATATTTTTAATTAAGGGTAGAAAAAACTAAATTTGGGGAATTTAAGGTAGAATAAAATTGCTAGTTTTTAGTGTTTATTGATTTGTTTTATAAAACGATATCATACGTAGCAGTCTAATTTATCTTAGAAACCTAAGACCCTCTTGGTGCTTCCTTTTCATCAGAAAACACCAGAAAGAAAAAATGATCATGACCTAACGAGTTGTCTGGTTCTCACCAGTCTCTCTAGAGTTGTATGGATTCTTGAAAAACCGTAGGATCTCATATACTCAAACTATGGCTTATCACAACACAGTTGGAAATAGTTTTTTCCCCTTGGTTAGGTTGCATGCAAGGTTATGAAAGCAATTCAGATAGTGAATCTTTCCAAATTTATTTTAATCGTGAGTCATATTTTGAAAGAGTCGCATGTTAGATGGGATAGTTGTAGAACCCTAGCATTAATGTTTCAGTGTTAAGAGTGTATCACAAATGCTATGACAATGCAGGATCAAATCCAGTTGTCGATGGTCCAGATTGTGTCCCATCAGTATCTGATTCTGATAATGGATCTCGTGCAATGCAACAAGTAGAACATGAAGAGGTTTCAAATGCAATTTCACATCCGAGATCATCGATATCTGATCATGATGACCGGACACTAGCTATTCCAGAAGTTGACCATGAGGAAGTTTCAAATGCAATTTTACATCCGATATCAACAATATCTGATCGTGAAAACGGGACACTTGTAGTGCTTGATGCTGACCATGAGGAGACTTCAAATACAATATTACATAATGGTCAGGAACATGTCCCATTAATATCTGCTCATGATGATGGAACACGTGCAATGCTAGAAGTTGACCATGAGGAGGTTTCAAATGCAATATTACATGCTTGTCAGGAACATGTCCCATCAATGTCTGATCATGATGATAGAACACGTGCCATGGTAGTAGTTGACCATGAGGAGGCTTCAAATGCAATTGTTTTGCATACTGGTCAGGATTGTGTCCCTTCAACATCTGATCCTGATGGTGGTACACGTGCTATGCTACAAGATAACCATGAAGGGGATTCAAGTGCAATTGTTTTGCATACTGGTCAAGATTGTGTCCCTCCAATATCTGATCCTGATGATGGCACACGCGCTATGCAAGAAGATGACCATGAAGGGGATTCAAATGCAATAATGTTACATCCTGGTCCGGATTCTGTCCCATCAATACCTGAGCATGCTCAAGGGACAACCTCAGTGCCACAAGTTGAGGAGGAAGAGAGATTACTAATTGAAATCTTTGACCCAAGACTGTATGTCCTTGATCTTTTCTCTATCCTTGGAAAACAAAAGGCACTTTTTTACCTACATTCTGGGAAATTTGCATATGCATCAATTAGAGTTTACAACCGGAAATGTTCTGTCCCTCACTGTAACCAAATGTTAATGAATTTCATAAACATTTCTTTGACACTGTTCTTTTCAAAACATTTCAGCCTTGCCCGGTGGAAGAAGCGGAAGTTTTATCACTCTCATAAATACCAGGTTATGATTTGTACTTTTTAATTTCTGTGCAGTTCAATGGCAATTGTGTTAAAGAAACCATGAACGTTATAAGTTCCATTAAGAGGCCTACACTCACTGCATTTCATACCAAAAAAAGTGGGGATGTTCTTTGGTTTCACATAACATTGATTTGACAGGTGTAAAAGAATAAAATTTTAAACGACACTGATAAAAAAAAAATTCATAATACTGTATTACAACTTTTAATTTATATAAATTTTGTAGGTTTCAGGAATAATTAGAATTTTTTTTAGCAACAATGGGCAAACATTTAATTTCATTTAATTGAGAAAATTTTAAAACCTATAAAGAGTTGATCGGTGTTTAAAAGTATACACTTTTTTTTTTAAGAAATATTTTCCTGTTAGTTGTTATATTTTCTTTTCCCATCACACTTTTTTTTTCCTTCTTTTGAGACAATATGGGACAGATAAATATTTTTACAAAAGATGTTGTGTTGATAGTTTTTGTTTCTGATCTTGATATATATAATAACATCATGATGCATGTAAGCTATGGAGTCCACTGGTAGCATTGACGGTTGCAGTGACGGTTGCAGAAACATTGCTCTATGTATATGTTCACTAATACTAGTTTGTTTGTATTAGTTTATGGTTGCCAGGACTATTTTGACTGAAACCATTCTTTTCTATTAAATAATGTCTCCTTATTTATAAATAAATAAATAAAATTATGGATTGATTGAACTGAAACTGAAATGAAGTCAGTAGTCATTGTTGATTTTTGGTAATTATATATCTTGACTCTGACAATATTATACTCATTTTTGCCACTTTCTTGGGTTCGAAGGCTATGGCACTTGAAGAGGTGTTACAGGATGAAGACAGTGAGGATGAAATTAATGAGGGCGCTCAAGAGATTGAAGATAGAAGGGTATGCACAATTACATAAGTGATCTTCTTATTTTGTTTTCTACAATTTCTTTTTCTTTAACCGTAACTCTTGTTGAATAACAAAACTCTGGTAGAGCTTTATCCTTTCTAAAGCTTTATCCTGAGAGCTTCCGATTTGTGATTCCTACAAGATTACAATAACTTGAAAATTACCTTCACTATATTTCACTGTTATGTTTTGAGGAAGCGTTGACCCAACTGATATGCAGAAACTTGCTTGTCTTAAAGCGACAGAAGATGAGAAGCGGTTCGTGTATATGTGGACCTCATTTATTAAGAAACAGCGGTAAGTTTGATTCAAGTCGTTCACTTCTTGTTGGATCTTATTTGTTTGGTTCGTTGCCATCATCTTCATCATTACATGTTTCATGCTGAATGCTTCTTTAAGATTAGAATGCTTCTTTAAGATTAGAAAGGTGACATGCTTGTCCATTTGGATTTCTAAGTTCTGGTTTCAATCATTGATTTTCTTCTTGTGTCAGTGTGCTGGCAGATGGTCACGTGAATTGGGCTTGTGAAGCATTCACAAAATATCACTGTGCTGAGTTTGCCGAGTCCCCAGCCTTAGCCTGGTAGCTAATTTTGGGTTTCCTATATGAAATCTTTTACAAAACTTGGCAGTTTTAATCATAATCTTTATGTAATCACTTACAAAAGCAGCTTTTGTTTGTCACTCGTAACACTTTTTTGCGGCTTGGCTTAGTAAAAAGCTATGCATTATATGCTCTTGTTTCATTTGGATGCATAAAGATCTGCAAATAATTATGAAATTAATAATTTTGCAGGTGTTGGAGATTGTTTATGATCAGAACATTTGAACAAGGTCTTCTAAAGGCATCGACCATGCATAAATGCTGTACTATTCTTGAACAATACCGGGGGCAGAAATGAGATCCCAAAAGCTAGAGAAAATTCAGCCTTTTCTAACTCTTTCACATCAGAAGAAAGAAATGACAAAAGACTTTTCTTTACAAGGTTCAAATTGCAGACACCGGAAGCTTGCTAAGGGAACTGCATAAGTTACCTGAGTTTTACATTCTGGATTCGTTTCTGTTAGTGTTTGAAATTCTTCTCTTCAATACTTTATTTTAATTATTGACATCAAATTAGATGGCAACCGTTGCCAGACTCGTATTTACTATTTTGGATTCAAATTTAATGAATTTCGATTTACAGACATTTTTTAGGCTATAGATTGAGATTCTATAGTTTTTTAGAAAAATGGTAGTCAAGCCAAATTTTATCCTAACAATATAAGCCAAATCATAATGGAAATTAAAAAAAAAAAAAAACTAACTAACCAGATCGATCATTCTTGAATGTAGTGACACTCAAAAGGCATTACAACAAAAGTGATGATATTAATAAACGAAAATACACAGGAAAGAAATAAATTTAACTTATTCATTCATAAATTATAAATATAGCTAACTAGACCGATTAGGTGCATACCGCGCACGATTAAGAAGTCTGCAATCCACCACTGATTTGCTGGTGTCCGTAGTCCTTGATCTCAAGGGCCTTGTTCAAGAGCTTGTGACGCACGCTGTGCTTCCCGGTGACATATCTGTAGATCCACGCCAGCACTGTGATAGCCGCCACACCGAACCCTCCCGAGACCAAGAACCCTAGGCTGAGGAGGGCAACAGTGATAACTGCAGGAACCAAAACAGGACTGAAAATGACAAACAGTGGAGTGACAATGGTGAGAGCAATGACAGTTGCTGTCAAGATCAAGGCGGCAAGGACAAGGAGGGAGCCACCGGCAGTGACAGCGGTGGCCGCCTTGACAACCTGTGTGCAGAGGGTTTGTTGGTGTGGATCATCTCGGTAGCCAAGGAGTGGTTGTTGGTAGTGAAAATCAGCCATGGCGAGAAATGAGAATGGTTAAAAGAGGGGTGAAGGGTTATTAATGCGTGTGGCAGGGTTTGTGGCGTTGGAAAAGGTTATATATGGAGGATTGAACGAGTGGAGGGTTGGGTGGCAGCACCTGAAAGAATGGTGTGGCACGTGTTGATGAGCTTTTCATGCATGGCTTGCATGCAAATCCCTGTGTTCTTTTGATGACACGTTAGGTTTTTCTACCTAATTTTGTGCTTCATAGTTCCTAAATTTATTTTTGCATTAATTTAAAAATAAAATTTTTATGTAAAATAGTTTATTATTATTTAAAGATAAATAAAATTTTAATATAAAAAAAATCAAATTATTAATTATATTTATTTAAATATATAAATACTAGTCTTTGTTACTATTATTCTATGTTCCCTCGTATTTTATATCAGTCTTTTCCATTAGGGCTTCATTAGTCTCACTAAATTTTTTCTAAATAGGACCAGTGACTGATCACTGAAAATATGAGTTGAATTTTAAAAATATCAAATTTAATTGAATTTAATAAAATAATATTTTTATAATATAAAATATAAAATATATTTATTAATAATAATATTTTTTATTAAAAATAATAAAAATTATTATTACAAGTTATCATAATTATAAATATAAAATGTATTAAAAAATTATAATAAAATTATTATTATTTAAATTTTAAAAAATTAAAATATATTATATTTTTATAAAAAAAATTATATTAAAAAATTTGATAATTTTTTTTTATGAAAACCTATTCTATACAGAAATTTATTCAATTTTTTAGTTTTCTAAATTTATTCTGATTTAATTAAAATTTAATTATTTAAAATAATAAACCGATTTATAATAAAGATTCAACCTATTGAATCATCTATCCAACTTTCAAATTTCACCAAACGGGTCAAGCTTTATCAAAATTTTGACCCAAAGATAAAGAGTAAAATGTGCAATTTCTCATGCTTTTATTTGGTATGCAAGAAATTAATTGTGACAGTTGATTTTTGTAAGAAAAAAGTCTTTTAATTTTAATAGTTTTGTTGGGTGAAATAAAAATATTTTGTATTCACTTTATTATCATAATAATAATAATATAAATATAAATATAATTAATAATAACAATAAATAATAATTATAACTATAATAGTAAAAAATATATTTTCTTATTATTATAAAAATAATAACTTTATAATTATATAATAGTAAAAATAACAGAATAATAAAAATAATAATATTTATAATAATACATAATAAAATTAATAATATCATGATTATAATAATTAAAAGATAAATTATTATTATTATAATTATAGTTAATATTATTGTTATTATTATTTATAAAATACAATAATAATAATAAATTGATCGTATTATTATATAAAAATAAAAAACTAAAACATTAAAAGCAATAAGTCGTGAAGCAAGACTTTTATAAAAAAAATGTTTCAAACTCAAAAAAAAAAAAAAAAATATATATATATATATATATATATATATATATATATATATATATATATATCTCGTATTTTTGTACATGATTTTAAACTCTTGATATGTAGATTTAAACTCTTGTCAAATTACTCATAATTTTACTCCTTTTAATATATTGTTATTTATATTTTATTTTAAATGTATAATTTTATTTTTAAGATAGTCTTAATAGTTTTATTTCTCTTACTAAGTATTTGGCATCATTTCTTCGTCTCAATCACTCAAATATATTTCTATATTAAAACTCTCTTAATCAGTATTTTTTTATTTTTTATTTTTATCACAGTAGCACTGAAATATTTAGTTATTCCATTATTATTTTTTTAATTTTTTATTTGTTTACCCTTTCCAGAGTAGTGCTATGATCTAAAATTTCTATATTAAAAAATAAATAATTTGTATAAAGCTTTATTATAATAGAACAAAAAGCTTTGACTTTTAATTATGGGTAGTCATATTTTGATGAAATGGTCTTTTGTAGATCTTGTTACAAGTTATTTTTAACATTTGTTTTCCTAATGGGTTTGATTTGGCTTACCATTTTTTAATCTTTTTGTTCTTAAAGAACTTCGATATGGTCGGTAGAATTTATGGTGGTTAGATGTTTGGTGGCATTTGTTACCAATCCTAGCCCGCACATTAAAGTTTCTGCAACTGAGTTGGTGGTTGAAATGACCCAAGTTTAATGTTTAACACTTTTTTCCTGATTTCACCGTCATAATTAAATTAAATTTTATTTTATTATTATATTTATCTTTATTTATATAAGTGTTTATTTTTTTGTCTATTTTTAAATTTTATTAAAATATTTTTATTTTTTTCTTCTTTTATTACTCTGAAAATTACAAGAAACAATCAAGAATTTCCAAATATTTTTAATTTAAAATTTTTCGAATATTAAGAATACAGTTATCAAGATTGAGAATATAATTTCAAAATAAATTTTCTCAAAACATGTTTCTGAGTTCTGTATTACATTTTTAGATATGATTTTTTGGGTGAGTCAGAAATATATTTATAGATTACATATTTTATAAGTGTATTTAGTTCTCACTAATTTAAAATATATTTTTAAAAAAATAATTTTATATATTTTAAAATTTAGTTTCTGAAAAATGTTTTCGAAAAAAATTAAAATATAATTTTTGATTGATTTTTCTAAAAATATATTTTGAAATGGAAGTTTTAAAATATATTTTAAAAAAATCAATATAAAAATATATCCTAGAATATTTTACAACTTAACATAATTTTCAAAAAATATTTTAGATTAAAAATATTAAAAATAATCATAAATTAATGTAATAATACAACAAATCAAATCATGTATATATATATATATATATATAACTTTAGAAAAATAGAAGAAATAATTAGAATTTAAAAACAAAATTTATTAAAAAGATATTTTAATTATTTTAGTATTCATTTTATACAGGGAAAATATTTTTCTTGACAGCTCAAATTGTGAGAACCACACGTTTCAACAACCACATAGATGGTGATGGTGGATGGAACTAAGAAGGATCAACAAATACCCCAAATTAAGTATGAAACAAACGACCACTGCCTCAGCAAGAAACAGAGTACCAGCAAACAACACACAAGGTAAAAATGGCTACTCAAATTGTGAACAACGACAAACTTCATGTTGTTATGTTCCCATTTCTTGCATTTGGTCACATTAGCCCTTTTGTTCAGTTATCCAACAAGTTGTTCTCTCATGGTGTTCGTATCACTTTCTTGTCAGCTGAGTCCAACGTTTCCAGAATTAGATCCACCCTTAATCTCAATCCAGCCATAAATGTTATCCCACTACACTTCGCAAATGGCATAAGCAGCACTGCTGATTTGCCTCCTCACTTGGCTGGAAATCTCATACATGTCCTTGACCTTACTCAGCCTCAGATAAAGTCTCTTCTGTTGGAACTCAAACCCCACTATGTTTTCTTTGACTTTGCACAACACTGGCTCCCGAAAGTAGCTTCTGAAATTGGCGTCAAATCGGTTCATTTCTCAGTCTACTCTGCCATTTCTGATTCTTACATTACCGTGCCGTCCAGATTTGCCGATGTTGAGGGAAGAAACATCACCTTTGAGGATCTTAAGAACCCCCCACCTGGGTATCCTCAAAACTCCGATGTTTCCCTCAAGGCCTTCGAGGCCACGGACTTCATGTTCCTCTTTACAAGATTTGGTGAAAACCTCACTGGTTATGAGCGAGTTTTACAGAGCCTTGGTGAGTGCTCATTCCTAGTGTTTAAAACGTGCAAGGAAATAGAAGGACCTTACTTAGAGTACATAGAAAAACAATTTGGAAAACCAGTTTTGCTATCTGGTCCACTAGTCCCCGAGCCATCTACGGATGTGCTAGAGGAAAGGTGGTCCAATTGGTTAGACACTTTCCCTGCCAAATCTGTCATATTATGCTCCTTTGGTAGTGAGACGTTTCTGAATGATGATCAAATCAAAGAACTAGCCAGTGGGTTAGAACTCACCGGCTTACCTTTTATATTGGTTCTAAACTTCCCATCCAACCTCTCTGTCCAAGCTGAGTTGAAGAGAACACTACCAAAAGGGTTTTTGGAGAGAGTGAAGGATAGAGGAATGGTGCACGCTGGTTGGTTTCAGCAGCAACTTGTTCTGAAACACTCTAGTGTGGGCTGCTATGTATGTCATGCAGGGTTTAGTTCTGTGATAGAAGCTATGGTCAATGACTGTCAACTTGTGCTGTTGCCTTTCAAGGGTGACCAGTTTTTCAACTCTAAACTCATAGCGAAGGATTTGGAGGCAGGTGTAGAGGTGAATAGGAGGGAAGAAGATGGTTACTTTCACAAAGAGGATGTATTGAAGGCATTAAAAACTTTAATGGTGGAGGATGACAAAGAGCCAGGGAAACGCATAAGAGAAAACCACATGAAATGGGGCAAGTTTTTATCTGATAAGGAAATTCAGAACAAATTCATCACAGATCTGGTTGCCCAGTTGAAGTCCATGGCTTAGTCTAGTCTCTTCCAAGGGAAAATAAAGTCTACCATCACTGAAAAACAATCAATCATTTGAAATCCTCAGATTTTCATGTGTCAATTATAATATCTGTATCAGTTTGTCATTCTTATGCTTTTATTTTTCCTTTTCAGATTTTTTATTTTGTGTGTCTTGTCTTCTACCTTTTTGTCTTCTACCTTTTCTTCTTTCGGAAAACGTTCACTCCCATCCATTTTTCTCACAACTTCATTTAATGATATAATAATAATTTTAAATTATCAAGATTTTTTTTCTCGTAATGACATGTAATGTAAACTTTATGTTTATGAAACTTATTATTATGATTATTAAAGCTTATCAAATGACTTACTTAAATAACAACTTTTCATATATTTTATATTTATTTATGAATAAAATAAATATAATTATTAAATATACAAATAAATTACATGTCAATCCTCCACTAATTTAATTTATAGTTTAAGAGAGTTAAATTCTTTGTAACTTATAATAATCAGAATTTTTTTATTTTTATTTTTGTCTAATTTGACTTATACCTAGGAAGAGTCAACTTAGTTAAAAAGTTATCAACCCAAATAAAATCATAAAAAAATATTTTGTACAAATTATTAATATCACAATTTTAAATCCATGAAAAAAATGTATTTTTCACGTATTTTGAGTATTATCCAAATATATTATAGTAAAAAATATCAGTTGTTTTATAACATTTTTTCTATTAAATTTAGTTAAAATGTTTATATTAAATTTAGTTAAATATCAGTTTTTTTTTAATGATGGTAAACTATTTTAAATAAAAATTAAGAAATACAAATTTAGTTATAGAGTGAAAGAACTATGATTTTTTTTATGCAACAATAAGGAGGTATTATTGATAGAAATAACTGAATTATATTTTTCTTTAATTTTGAATTCCAAATCTTGCTCCATTTTTCGTTTTAATAATTTTATGAATATATTAAATTTTTCTCTAGAAATTTTAATTACACATTTGCTCTCTTAGATTGCTAAATGTTAACAAATTTAAAAAATATATTTAAATTTTGTAATAATTAAATGATATATTAATATTATACAACTGTTTAATTTCGAAAAACTAAAAAATTAAATCCAAAAAAAAATTTCAAGAACCCAAAATACATTTCCAAACTTATAGAAATAAAAGTGTTTTTTAGTAATTGTTAGAATAATAAATTTTTAGAGGAGGAGAATGATTATGGAGATTAATGGTGTGAGTTGGCATGTGGTCCAATTTGTGGCGTTGGCGTATTTGGTTATGAAGACCAATGTGCGGGGTTTGGTTCAGAATATCAATTTCAGAGGTTGGAAAACTTTTTAGTTTTCAAATTTTTTTAAGTGTAAAAAAATAAAATAAAATAAAAATTATATTATTTTATAACGTATAATAATATATAAAATATTTTTATTACTATTTATGTAAAAATACAAAATTATTATAATTAAAAAAAAAATATATATATATATATATTTTAAATTATGATAATGATAAATAATTTAAAATGTTTTTTTTTCAAATCTATTACCAATTCAACTAAAATATTAAAATAATTATGTTTTGTTACATATTCAAAACAGTATTAGTAATATTTTTTAATTATACTTTTATTTATATATACTAAAAAATCACGTTAGAGGGTATTTTAGTCTTATAAACATAATGATTAATGTTTTCTTAATAGATGTGTTTTAAACTAAAATAAGTATATTACTAAAATTGGGAAAACCTTTACTTTTTAACTTTAAAAAAAATTGTTGACCATCATTAAAAAAATAAAAAAGTAGTTATTATTAGTTGGGCCTGGAGGGACCCAATTCTTAATTGTGCCACCGTTTGGTTTTTCAATATTCTCCGTTTATTCTGAATCCATTTTTTATGAAGATTTTTATTTAAAAAAAATTAAATGAAATAAGACTAAAATTTTAAGTATAAAATTTTATTACACTATATTAAATAATTATATTTATTATATTATACTGTACTAAATACTAAATAACCAGTAAAGTTATTATTAATACTGTAAAATTTATTAATATTATATTAAATAATTAATATTAATATAATTAAATTTAATATTATTAATAATTAATGTTTAACACTATTAATAATTAATGTCAATATAAAAATATTTTGACCTTAGTTATATTTTAAAATAAAAATAAAAATAAAAATAATTAATATTGATTTAATATTTTATATTAAAATTGTTTCTATTGACATCAATTATTAATAATGTTAAATTTAAATTTTATTAACATTAAGGATTTAATATTAATATTAATACATTTTATGGTATTAATAACTATTTTATTAATTAATCTAATCTAATATAATAAATATAATTATTTAATATAAAATAATAAATTTTAAAAATGAATATTTCTTATTTTGTTTAAATATTATACTTTATACTTATTTTCAAACTTTGTACTATTTTTATATATTTTTAATTTGATTATGACGATTAAATTAAGAATGCATTAATTATAATAAAAAACTAGATTGAAAATGTGCTATGTACAGAAGATGAAATTAATGTGTAAAAAATAACTATATTAACTCATGATAGAAAATAATGAATATTCTGAAATACATTTACTCCTATTCCAGAAGTTAAATCATTGAGAGAACTAAAAATTATTGTAAAAAATGGGGGATAATGTGTGAACTAATATAGGGGGTGTAAATAGTAACTTCAGAATAAATGTCCACACCAACGCACAGATTGCAGCCATCCTCCAAGATCCAAATCATTCAGGTTCCAAGCCCAATTAAAACGTGACCCACTAAACAAAACATATAAATTAATAGATGATAAGCACAATGAAAGAATCTAGAATCTCCACGTATCTTAGTAAATCAATTCAAAATTATAAGCATTGCTTAAGAGAAATTTGTTTTGTACTTTGACACATATAACATGGTTTATATTCACACTTATTATTATTTTAAGTAGATTTTTTTTTCTCCTTTTAAACTTTTCAAGTTTACTTTAATTCCTGAAAAAATGTCATTTTTTTATCTCTCTAGTTTCAAAAGTACATAATTTTTTATTTATATTTTGAAAGTTATTTAAGTAACACTTTGTAATAATTATTAATCATTGTGTAATCTATTTTTTAGGACCAAAATAGTAATACATTTTAAAATTAGAGAATACATGAATTTTCTGATTAATTACAATCAAATTTAAAAAGTTTAGAAGAATTTTAAAAAATGTTTTATCCTTATCTTTCTAATTTACCTATGTAGGCACGCTTAACACAATGCTATGTTTCAACCTCTTCCAAGGATCACATTGAGATTGAAAATGAGTATTTTTCACATGTCCATGTACATTACCTACATCTAAGTAAAGTTTGTACAAAATATAAATTATGATTGATGCTATAATTAGGTAATTAGAAAAAACTGAATAAATCATTGTCTTAATTATGGTGATTGAAAAGATAAATCATTGTTGTTTAAATTACAGCAATTAAGAAAGCTAACTATTACAATCAATTGTGGAAATAAGTCACTGTCAATATAGGTAGTGATTCTAGAAGTAAAGATCCAATTAAGATATTCAATAACAACTTTCTCATTATATATATTAAACAAAGGGAAGTGGTGACTATCACACAATCTAGTTTGAGAATTGTTGTATGAACACATAGAACTATGTTTCTTTGAGAACTGTTAAATTCAGTTTCACCCCATATGCTTTCCTTAGCCATAACCCAAGGATTCAAATAACACACCTTTGCAACAACTATTTAACTGACATAAAGACATGGTACTTATTTCTCATGACATAAAATGACTTGAAGTTGTGGGAGCTGCTGTGCACTCTCTTCTCCTTTTTCTGCCACAAGTGTTGGGCTCTGGATGAGACTTTCCAGCCTCCAAGGGGAAATTCAAAACAGCCTTCTGACCCCTCATTCTGAAGGCAGCACAATCATAAGCCTTAGCAGCATCAATCTCACTGTCATATGTGCCTAGCCACACCCTGTTCCCTTTCCTTCTGGGGTCACGGATCTCTGCAGCAAACTTCCCCCATGGCCTTCTCCTCACTCCTCTGTAACGCCTTGCCTCGGAACAACATGTTGCTTCCCTTTTCACTGACACCATTGCTTCTGCCAAATCAGAATTCTGGGGAGGACTTGCTGAAATGGAGTTTTGGATTTTATCATGAGAAGTGAGACCTACCACTTCCTTGTCTGCTTTAAAATCAAAGCATTCTAGAAACCTGCAGAAGCTGCTTTGCTCTGAGAAGTTTGAACCCAAATCAAGTTCTGATGATGGGTCTTCAACTTTTACAGGAATGAGGTTGGTGAGAAAAGGGTCTGAAATATCCCCCAAGAGATATTGGCGCAACAGTTTCAAAGTCGAAATTTCTTCTTCTGTGGCCATATCTGAGAAACAAAAACTGTTGAATAGGAGGTTGGTTTAATTTGGAATGTATAAAAAGATAGCAACTAAGATATATATATATATATATATATATATATATATATATATATATATATATATAAAGAGAGAGAGAGAGAGAGAGAGAGAGAGAGAGAGAGAGAGAGAGAGAAAATCTGTCACTAAAAAAGGGTCCCTATTGATACATCAGAATTGATCATCTAGTTAATGGGAATGGAGACTTACACGGTTTTCACTCAGGAAGTACATAATCTTATCCAATAAAATGGTATTGTATTTGGGTACCCCACATTGAAGCACGGAAATCATAATTGATTAGAGGCTCAACTTGGCCTTTGGCAGTTAGCAATACAGCTGTTTTGTAGAAAGAGCAAATAAATGAAGTAAACTAATGGGGACAAGAAACTTGACAACTTGTATGCCAAGAGTCAATAACTCTGTTTCTGGTTTGGTTGTTAGTGATTAGTGTACTTCGCATTGCAAGCTAGATTAAAGGCTGCTGCTTTTTATAGACATGATTAATACATTCGGACACTAATCTTCTTCAACTTGTATCAAAACGATTAAGGACATTCATTTTGATATTTTAAACAAATCACATCAAAGCACTTAAGCATCCTCTCAGATGTATACTTCATACACTTGCGCAGTGGTTTAGCCAAAACCAACAAAGCAAAACAGAGGTTGTAGGTCTTATCTCTAATACATGTCAGATAATGTTTATCCCTTAATTTTAATTTTACTACGCAGTTCCTCTCCTAATAACCGTTACTTTGATTTAAAATAATTCATGTTATTGAGTACTTTTATATAAATTTATGATAAATATATCTTCCATTAGAGCCTTGTTCTCTTTATGTTAGCAACTTTCTGAACTATTCTTATTTTTTATTTTGCGAAAGATTCAATATTTACTTTCAACAGTCTGCTTTAAATTTTTACTAAATTATAAATTATAATAAAATTATTACAAATTTAAACTAATCCTTATTTAATGCTACACATGAAATTTTTATATATTTGAAATAGATTAAAATAAGTAAAAAAGATCACAAACTCTCTTAATTTTTTTATTATTAAGAAAAGATCAGTTTTTTTATATAACACTATTTAAAAAATATTTTTCTTTTTCATTTTAAATTAAGATAAGAAAAGATAATAATATAAAAAGCCTTGTTATCCATAAAATACTTCTCAAAAATTCATAAAAATATTAATGAAATATAAAACTACAGATTCATTTATATACACCCACATAAACGTTTCACTGTCACCAAAAGCAAAGTGGGTATTTAAGAGCACAACTCCCCTATTTAAAAGGCAGTATGAGCAACCATATGTTACTGCATCATCCAGAGAATAATGCAAAGAAGTAAGGTACATGGATTTCCGTATACTTGATTGAAAAAGGCACTATGCAATACATTTAATTTTTATTTTATTTCTCTCTTATTTTATTTAACTTTTTTTATTTATATTTACTTTATTTCTTTATTTTCTCTCAGGTACATTCAGAGACTTAAAATATTCCACCATGGATAATATTACCAGATCCATAACATGTCCACTGCCCAATTATCAAAATGAAAAAAGAATAGGTAGTATCATCCTCCATATGTTAAGCATCATCTGATTAATTAATTCACAGAAATCAATCAACACCCACGATAATCATTTATTTATTATCTATATCTTCATATCTATTTGTCAACTTTCTTGTTCAGAGGCAACGAAATCTGGTTGATTCGTCGATGCAAGAAGTCTAGCCCACATCCTGTCACTCAGCTTGACCGTTTTTTGCCTCTCCGTCACACGCTGCAACATGTTCGGTGATCAGCTGGTATATTACACAATGCACGGAAAAACAAGCTAAACTCATAATATCATAAACGATGTAGAACAAAATCTCCAGGAAAATTACACACTTCACATAATCGTACAAGGTCAACCTAATCTTACAAGGTCTCTCGTGGTGTCTGAGATTGACCCAAAAAGGGCTTCAGTTTTCTTCATGTTCTACTGTCAGATGCAGGAAGTACCTTTCGTGGCAAATTTATTTCCGGGATTCAAATTTAAGAGATTTTATCAAACTCCTGGAACTTTCATTTACAAAAAAATACATGATTTTGTGCCTCGCTGGCAGGCAAGCTTTCTCATCTGCATCTAAATTGAGTCATCTTTTCTAATAGTTAGTCCTTATTAGAACAGTTCAGTCTTTTTACCCGATAAAAATGTCTCTTGACAGAAATCATGTATGGTATTTTCCTTAATACATGTAAGAATAAAAAAATTATTTCTAATGTTTTTTTGTTTAGAAGGTTGCTAAAACTAAATGGAAAGAAACATAGCAGTTAGGGGCGAATACAGGTGGATGTTAGAAAAACTTCTTCAACTAACAAACAGGGTACAAGGTCTTATTCGTTATAGTTTTCATACATTCCTAATTCAATCCAAAAAATTATTCTATAGGATTTTAATATTTATGATTCTCATACATTTACATAAATCATATATAGGGAGGATATTCACAAATTATAAACAGGAAAATATTAAATTCACAAATTATAAACAGGAAAATATTAAATTGATCTAAGAAAGATCCAATAAAAATATGTTTTTTAATTTCTTTATTTTCTAATCTCCTTTTTCTAATCTATCTCTTTGTCTTTCTTTTCTTACACTTTCTTATAGTAAAAAAATCTTATGCCAGAAATAGAACCCTTGCTTCTTTTATATAGCAAAGGAATTCATTCAATGCCTCAATCTAATTAAAAAAAAAAAAATACTAAACCATTGTTAAGCGTAGCATAGAGTATTTTACTTGAATTGAATATCAACATGAGTTAATGAAATGAACCACTCACAGCAATTGGGATATAAGCATGTTTACTGTTCACAGGCCCGATTGTGAAGCCAGTATATCCAGCCATAGCTCCATGAACAGCACCTTGAGCAAGAAGTGTGCAGTAAATGTTGTCCGATGCATTACTTGGAATCGCTCGAATCATGTACGTTGGATCTATGAAAATAACAAACAAGTTTTATAACGAAAATTACAAATTTAAGATTTCAATAGAGAAGTAGCCAGCTGCTCCCAAGATTAATTGATTTTAAATAAAAGTAGTGAATAACTACTGTAAATAACATTCTCCTCTATAAACACGCCTAAGAGGAAAAAAAAAAAAACCTTTTCACAGGCTAAAAATTATGTACCAATTAAAAATAAAAATTTAGAAAATATATATGAAAAACTTGTACAAATAAGTTAATCTAACTTAATTTTAATTTATAAAAAAAAGTGCTTATAAAGAAGTTTGTCTAAACAAACTTTACAAATGGCATTTCAACGTAGTAGGTGAAATGAGGGTTTCTTGAGAGACGAGAGGATAAATATAAACCACTAGATTAAAATGAAGGTTACAACTCCAAGTAATTTTGTTTTACTTGCACCACATGTGCTCTTATTCCCACTCTCACAACAAAGCAGTTTGCGTATTATTTTTTGGAAATGGGAGAAGGACAGTTTACAGAGAGGAATATGGGAAGGAGGGCGATAATGAGAATTATTGAAAGTGAGGAGGGTTTTGGATTCAATTTCAATCATGCAGATGGCAAATGGCAGCGCCATTCCTGTTCTGAGTTTTTGCTCTGCGGTTCCCCCATCTTCATCATCAGCCTCTCCATTTTTGGGCACATCCTGATTCCCGTTCCTTCCTTTAACAATAAAAATGCAATGCAGGTGGAGTTCCGGCCACAAACAAAATGATAAAAAAAAAAATGGAACAGCTTTCGTTCATTGGGAGAGCAGGACGACCAGATCCAGTGCTAATGGTTATCATTCTGTGGCAATGAAATGTAATGTATATCCAGTTACAACTCAAATTGCCAATTGAAGGAGATTCCAGTTCTTTACGACTAATGTAAGTGTTGATCATCAGAGCCAACTCCACAGGGGCCAGGATGATGAATACACACCCTCTGTCACATTCTGGACCCGAAACATAACTTTCTAAACCTTATTTTTGTCCAGTCTTTTAAAAGCGGCCAAGTCATACAGTTGCATATTCTTTCCATATGACACAGTAGCAAGTAAAATTGACAAATATTTAGATCTACTGGATATCACATTTTAATGAGATTTCTTCCAAAAGATTAACTGATCAAGCTATTGTACAGGTAGGCAACCATCATAAGGTGATATTGCATAATTAAAATAAATAAAAAGATTCGTGGAAAACTAAAGAAAATACCTATATATTTCATATTCACTGCCATCTTTCGAAACACTGTGAAATGATCCTACAATGAAAAACATGTCAATGAGGAGACAAAGTGAAGTACTTAAAAGATCTTCTGCACTCTACAACGCTTAACTTTGTCAATCCCTCTGTACGCAGCTCTTTCCAGTCTTACGATGACCACGATAAGGTGGCTTTCAAAATTGAACGAAGCTTAATCAGAAAACTGAAATAGTGAACTATGAAGTTGGGTTGGGATTTTGTTATAGTCTATCAACGAACTTCCCATCTCACACCAATCTCTCAATGTGTAAGGATTGAAAGGAGAGAATACATATTGTGGAAAGGAACTTAACAAGTAAATTACAGATGACTGTAATTGATATTTAACACTATTGAATCGGTCTATTAGCAAGTTAACTGGTCACATCAGCATAAAACAGATTCTAAAAAAAAAAATGCAAGACTTTCTTTTGAATAGATTTTTTTGTTATGGTCAGAAATCTTTAAATTCTAAAATCAGCTTTCCCAAAGATATTGAATTTAAGTCTCAAATCCAGTCAATTCAAAGGTGTTTATGATGAGTTAAAATACATTTCTTCAAATAATACATACATCTATAACAGCAAAGAAAATCAAGAGAAGAGATGAGAAGATAACGCAACATACCTTGATCTTATCAGATAACCATGGACCAACATCAAGAAGTAGCTTGTTCCCTGATGCATCCTTTTTATCTGAGGCGTGCCCTTCCGCAGCAACATATTCCTGACCAGCTCCTTCTGCTACCACAATGACTAAATGCCCATTTTCTTTTAACCTCTGTTCAATAAATTCAAAAAGTCCACCTCTTCCTTCCAAATAAAAGGGAGACTCTGGAATCAAGCAGCAATCCTGTAATGAACCTAGCTATTATGGGCATTTATTTTTTCTTCTTAATGTTCAGATAAAATTCTATCAAGTCAAATAAGAGTTTCATGATGAAACTCTTTTCATTTATTTAAATATCTTTTATTAAGAGGAGTGAAGAGTCATCTACCAAGAAAATGAAAACCAACTTGTAATCTGAGGATAAACTCTATTTAAGCTATATCTTTAGTTAATATGAGATTAAATCACTCCCCTTGAGGTTACAATTAAAGCCCCAAAGAGGCTGCAACTAAGGCAGGCCAGGGTAACCACTATTAAGATGATTATCTAATAGAGTAAAGGCGCTAGCTAAACAGCTTATTGCGCAGCCCATTCCTGGTCTTGACAAGTGGGCTGATGTTCTGAATAAACCTTTCTCTCCTACTCAGTTTCTCAGGTCCAAGCTCATACTAGTTGATCTACCTGCAGTATCTCATCCACTCTGAACTTGGGGGTTGGGGGTAGTTAGTGATATTTTTCTGCGTAAGTATTTCACAGTTCACTTTACTTGTATCTGACAGTTATGTTGGGAACTAAATTTGAATGTTTACGCAACTTTAGGATATTATACCACCGTTTTCCTAGCATAATAAAACATGTCCTATTGGCCAATATGTAATATATAACTTGACTTATATCAATTTAGATTGTTTTGAGGCATATAAAGATTTCTTGAGCAGACATGGCTTTCCTTTCTATCCATGAGAAACAAAACCAAACGATTAATAAAATTGCATTAAAATCTTTTATTACAACTTTATTTTATATGTTTCTTTGATCCTTCCTTTTTCTTTTAAGGCTCATGCAAGCCCTAGCTTCAGGCTTGGTAAAAACTGTAAATCAGTAACCCCTAGCTTCAGGGTTGGTAACAGGTTTTGAACCATTTGAAGGATAGAAAGTGTTTTTTCACGTAAAGTCTATCTTCTATAAAAATGAATTCTTATTAAGTCATACATTCCTTCACTTATATACACAAATATGTGAATGGAAGGAAGAGAAAAAAAAAACGGAAAAATGAAATCAATCAAAACAGAAAAAAGGAATATTTAGAAAATCCTAACAGAAAGATTAAGGCTAGGCAAATGCAATGAAAAACACGAGTGTATAGGTGTACAGCTGTTCAACATGGGATTTGAGGTGCGCATTGCAGGTTTGTGGATTTGACTATATGGGACTTGATGTGTGCAGAGTCATCAATTGGAGGAAGCTTTGCTTGAGGAATTCTTAATACCCCCTCGCAAGCTGGAGGGCAGAAGATATTGTGCACTCCAAGCTTGGATAAAAAGGCAGTGAAATATTTTGGAAGTAGGGCCTTGGTGAAAAAGTCAGCTATTTGGGCATGAGATGAAATGGGCAACAAATGCATTAGGCCTAATTGTAGTTTCTCTCTAACTAGATGACAGTCAATTTCTAAATGTTTAGTTCTCTCATGGAAAACAGGATTCTGTGAAATGTGTATGGCACTTTGGTTGTCACAAAATATCACATGGGACTTGGTTGGATGGATGTGAAGATCTTGAAGTAGGTAGTGTATCCATTGCAATTCACAAGTTACAGTAGCAAGAGCCCTATACTCAGCTTCTGCAGAGGAACGAGCTACAGTGAGTTGTTTCTTTGATTTCCAACTTACCAGGGAAGGACCAATAAAAAAACAATAACCAGAGATGAACTTTTGAGTATCTGGGCATCTTCCCCAATCAGCATCAACAAACCCACGAAGTCGCAGGTCACTGTTTCTAGGGAAGAACAATCCTAATCCTGGTGCATTCTTTAAGTAGCGAAGTATTCTAACTGCAACTTGGTGATGTGCATAAGTTGGAGAATTAAGGTACTGACTGACTTGCTGAACAGCAAAGGTGATACCTGGCCTTGTAGTTGTTAGATAAAGCAATCTGCCAACTAGTCTCCGGTATGCAGTAACATCTGGAAATGACACTCCCTTGTCTTGTTGTAAAACCATTGTTGGATCCAAAGGAGTCAAGGCAGGTTTACAGTTGGTTAGAGATGTGTCCTCCAAAAGATCAAGACAATACTTCCTTTGTGAGATGGAAATTCTCTATGAAGAGTGTGCTATTTCCAATGCTAAAAAATATCTTAAAATACCAAGATCTTTGATGCCAAATACTCTATGCAATTGTTGCTTGACTGAAGCAAATGCATGTACAGAAGTCCCAAATAATAGGATGTCATCCACATACACTAATAGACCAGTAAACCCAGAATCAAAGAATCTAAGGAATAAAGTATGATCTGCAGTGGCTTGATGGAACCCCAAGGTTAGAAGAAAGGAAGAAAGCTTCTCAAACCACTGTCTGCTTGCCTGTTTTAAACCATAAAGTGATTTAGTTAGTTTGCAAACCTTATTTGGATGAGAAACTGCCATACCTTGTGGAGGAACCATGTACACATTGAGAGATTCAGTGCTGGCTGGCAGTAGTTTTTGTTCAGTATGAGGAGAGGATGTGTGTAATGTAGGTGAGTTTGGTTAACTAATGATGGCAGGTTGGTGAAGGGTAGGAAAATTCGGTTGACTAATGATGGCAGGTTGGTGGTGTCTTTGGTCAGAAAATGTACTTGGCATATCAGTTTGGAAAGGAAAAATGTACTCCTCAAAAAAAACATTTCTGGAAATTTGCAATGTCTTTGTACTTAGTTCATATAATAAAAATCCTTTTGTGCCAGGCTTGTACCCCACAAAAACACATTTTTTTGCTCTTGGATCAAACTTTCCTCTATGTGAAGTATTTGTGGATGAATAGCAAAGACAACCAAAGACTCTTAAAATATTTAAATCTGGTTTTTGATTAAATAAAACTTCATAAGGTGACTTAGAGTCAATAATGGGAGATGGTAACCTATTCAATAAATGCACAGCATGTGCAACAGCTAGGCCCCAAAAAAACTTTGGTAAATTCCCTTGAAACAAAAGGGCTCTAGCAATGTTAAGAAGAATTTGATATTTTCTCTCAACTCTAGCATTCTGTTGAGGTGTCTCAACACAACTTGTTTGGTGAAGAATTCCATAATCATTGTAAAAGGATTTTATCAAAAATTCAGTTCCATTATCTGACCTAATGATTTTAATTTTCCTTTCAAATTGAGTTTCAATCATTTTGGTGAAATTTCTCAAGTGGTTTTCTGTTTCTGACTTATGTTTCATCAGAATTAGCCAGGTGTACCTACTGTAGTCATCCACAATTGTAAGAAAGAACTTTTGTTTATGGATTGTATGAACACTATAAGGTCCCCATACATCCACATGAATGAGATCAAAAGGCTTATTTGCCTGGCTGTTACTATCACTATAAGGTAACCTTTTTTGCTTTGCAAAGTGACAAGTGTCACAAACTAAATTTTTATTATATGTATGTAAAAAAGGGTACAAATCACAAAGCATATTCATTCGTGAATTAGAGACATGCCCCAATCTGAAATGCCACAAGGCAGTTTTTGGAAAAAGAGATTTGGTTAAGGTTGCATTTACTACGGCTGATTGTGATGTACATGGCTGTGAGAGATGATGGTAAGGTAGACAATACAACCCATCCTTCATTCTAGCTGAACCAGGTCTTCAAGTCTTGTATGAGACATGAGTCAGGAAAAAAAAGGAAACCAAAGTTAAGCTGTGAACTCAGTTTTGAAATTGAAATAAGATTCAAAGTGAACCCTGGCATAAAAAGGACATCAATTAAAATAAGATTCTGATCAATAGTGATGGTTCCTTTGTGTGTTGCTGTGGATTTATGTCCATTTGGAAGATTTACTATGATAGGGTCATGGTTTATTGGCTTTAAACAACTGAATAATTTTTTATTTGAACAAATATGGCCAATTGCACCTGAATCAAGTATTCAGGTGTCAAACAAGTTATGAATGCTGCATGCTATATGATTACCTGATTGTGTTTGCTATTTTGTAGTAACAACTGCTACCTGATTATTCCTTGAGGGGCTAGCAACATTGGAAGATTGGAGCAGATCCATTATTGCCTTAAACTGCTCATCAGATAATGAGACTTGTGAGGAGGCTTGAGAAACTGTGTCAGTGTCCCCTTTTGAGTTTGCTTCACCACTCACAGCAGAGTTAGAAGAATCCCCTATAATGCTATTGATGCTTCCACTGTTCTTTGTTTTAAAATTGGTTGGATAACCATGTTTTTTATAACATACTTCAACAGTGTGACCTGTCTTGCCACAGTAGCTACAAACTTTCATATTAGGCTTTCCATTAAAAAAGTTTGATGAATTACCTCTTCCTTTGCCGTATGGCCTTCTCCATTCTGCTGCATTTGAAAAAGCTGCACATCACCATCACTAACAGTATTGAGGCTAACCTTCTTTTCTTGTTGTATTGCTAGTGAGAACACTTTGCTTGATCTGGGAATGGCTCCATCATGAGGATCTGTGATCTTACTACCTCAAAATCATCACTCAATCCACTTAGAAATTTCAAAATACAATCCTCGTCTCTGTAGAGTTTACCATTTCTGCTGGCATCACATACACATTTTACAGTGCACACACAATGTGGGAGAGGTCTAACGTTCTCAATCTCATCCCATAAGGTAGTCATCTCAGTAAAGTAACTAGTCACAGAGTTTGTACCTTGCTTTAATGAATTCAGCTCTTGCTGCAACTCAAATACTCGAACTCTATTGCCTTGTGCAAATCTGTCTTTTAGCAATTTCCATGCTACTGATGCGACCTCCAAGTAGACAATACTTTGAGCAATTGTTGGCTCCATAGAGTTGAAGATCCAGGATAGTACTAAATTGTTGCATCTTTCCCAAGCTTCAAAACTTGGATCAAAGGAAGATGGCATTGGCAATATTCCATTGACAAACTTATATTTGTTTTTAGAAATGAGGGATCTCTTCATAGCTCTAGCCCAGCTATGGTAATTTCTTTCGGACAACAATGGTGTAGCTAGGACAAGAGAGGGGTTTTCTCCAAGATGAATATAATACTCACTCAATGGGTTTAAAGCAGGGTCTTGTGGTGGAGGAAGAGGTGGAGGATTTCCACCTCCACTGCTTGAATTTCTTTTTGCCATGGAAGAAGAAAACCAGAGCTCTTGAGATCAAGAGCTCTGATACCATAACAGGTTTTGAACCATTTGAAGGATAGAAAGTGTTTTTTCACGTAAAGTCTATTTTCTGTAAAAATGAATTCTTATTAAGTCATACATTCCTTCACTTATATACACAAATATGTGAATGGAAGGAAGAGAAAAAAAACGAAATAATGAAATCAATCAAAATAGAAAAAAGGAATATTTAGAAAATCCTAACAGAAAGATTAAGGCTAGGCAAATGCAATGAAAAACACGAGTGTATAGGTGTACAACTGTTCAACGTGGGATTTGAGGTGCGCATTGCAAGTTTGTGGATTTGATGATATGGGACTTGACGTGTGCAGAGTCATCAACTGGAGGAAGCTTTGCTTGAGGAATTCTTAATAGTTGGTAAAATCAAGAGATATTTGATGAAATTTGAGTCTAAATTACAAAGCAGAAGCTCCATTATGTACACTAAATATAATAACTATATTTAAGATATCTTAATATTCTGCTTTCTGCTAGACAAGATAGTACTAAACTATTTACTACCTTCCAACATTCCTTGTAGTTCGCATTCAACCATTTTCTGTGAATATGGATCCTCTTCTGTTGACGTTCTGTTCAATAAATCTCAACCATTTATTGTGTTTATTACTTAATGTTTCTGGTTGAAATAAAAACTACCTAACTCATTAACTTACTAAATTAGGTATCCATGTTCCTCATTCTTCTTTTATTGTTTTAGTTGATTTTTGTTTTAATGGTTACGTTTAGTAATAAACATAGTAAATAGTTAAGATTCATGAAACAAGACCTCTCCTATTAACAGTAAACAGGAGAGAGTCTAAATCCATTTTCTGTTAGTTCCATTCAAGTGCCGTATGATGCGGCGGACTGATTTGTGGCATGGCAAAAAGAAAAAGTATCGAAATATAAATTTTACTCTATCAAAAAAATCAGTTCAAATGAGATAATTACTGATAAATGCTGAAATTGGACAAATGTCTTACCACATCTCGGCTTGCCTGTGTTGCATACATTGCAATGAAACCTGCATAAGGAAGCTTGTAAATTTCTAATAACATTTCATTCATAGGTAAAAACTCCCATTTTTTGTCATTTCATTGAATAAAATTATTTGGAAAAGTAGAATTGCAATAGAAAACATGAAGCAACTTCTATTTACCACTGTATCTTCCCATCAATTTAACAATTCCAACTCCATTTTCAACACTTTCAACCTCCACATGTGCAGCGTTAATGGCTCTCTGGGCTTCTTCCACAGCAGTATCAAATCCAAAAGATTTGTCTATCACCTAGATCCAAACACAAACAAGCAAAATAAAATAAAAACTCCCTGTCCAAGTATATATTCATTTTAATAAATATATCATAAATGGTATATTGATGAACAAATATAATATCTCCAATTCAAGACAAATGGTTGCACACACACCTACAGAAACTTGAATTTTGATCTCTTAACCAAAATATAAGACCAGGCAGAATGCCATTAAAAGTTGACAGTGTTCTTATATAAAATACTAGCTACAATTACTGAATTACACTTCATTTAAAATAATTAGTATATATCATAAATAAAACAAGAAACACTCTTCCCATTATACAAATGCACTAGAAATATTAAGTTTCATTCTTTACAGGGTAGCAGCAGAACAAAGAAAGAAAACCTAACATTTTTTTTTTTTTAAATTCTCATCATCTTGCATTTGCATCTTCCTTTCTTTCTTGACAAATTCTTTTTTTAAAAATGAAAGATAATTGTCAAAATCACTTTCCAATACAATTCATGACTAGCTTTTCCTTGAATCTACCAACTAAACAACTACCAACAAGTTGATAACTTCCTTGACCGCTAGTAAATATACCACAAGCAAACCTTTTACCATTGACAACCACAGTGGACTCCACTCAAGGCAATTGATAACTCAGTAGTCTTTACTTCCTGATAAGTTTCACTTCTTGCAACAGAATCTCCATTCCAGAGACAAATTCATACTCCAATACTAAATATAAAAAAAATGGTCTTTCTTTTTCAAAATTTGAAATAAAAGTAGCTCTCGAATGCCATTTTTGACAACAAATTGATCCTCCAAAGGTTATCTTACATTCAAGGACTAATTTGATATAGTTATTGTATCTTTGAAGAACCAAAGTAAGTGTATATTGATTATTCTTTTAATATCTTTGACAACCGCTTACAAAAGAGTGCACCCAAACCTTGTTCTGAAATTTTAGTTTAATTAGAAGAGTAGGAGAATAAATATTAAAACAATGGCTAATGGGCTGAAAATTGTCTCTTTAAAAACCAGTTATAAATTATAATTTGTTTTCAAAGAGTCATTTTCTAATAGAAGCTTATGTTGATGAGATAGCTCAGGTTGATTCCATCAATGTCTCCAACATTTAGGACAGCAAACATGAGAATTACGTGGTTTAAAGTTGGGAATGGAATGGACTTAATTGAATGAATATGCACTATTCAATATTTCTCAAAAAAGACAAGTAATAAAGCTAAAAGGCCGTGATGGTCTTTCTGCCTCAGAAGTGACTTACCCATTCAAAGTGCCTCAAAACAAAATAGAGAATGTATGATGCTACCCCTTGAGTCCTGAATTTATGAGTACGTTCTAACCTAAAACTTCTATTGACATTGTCTACTAACGGATTTTAAGTTATGGTTGTGTATTATCAATTTAGAATTTATTTTTTTGCCTATTGTTGGTAGATTATGGGGTGCATAATATCTTTCCTTTGCAACATTCTTCATTGCAAACAGATTTGTGACTTTAAACCCCTCCCAACCTTCTGTTTTCCTATCCGTGTGTTGACAGATTAATTTACAATGTCGATAGGTTAATTTATGAAAAGTGTGTTTTAGTATGCAGGTTTTCTTTCAATGGATAAAGCAACAATTTTACTGGAAGTTTTATATATTTATTTTATTTGAAATAAAAACACACACACACACACACACATACATAGCAGATAAGGAGAAAGTGATGACGTAAAGTTATTAGATGTTATTCTTTTTTTATTGGTCTATTGATTTGGTAGAGTTAATCCATTATTTACAAGTTGGACCTACATAAGTACTTGGTCTAATTTTGGGTTATTTTTGTTTACATTATCCGAGGTCATTATGCTTGGATCATACGTTTTGTTTTTGAATTGGTCGATTTACCACGAGGTTAGAGTTGGATTTTTTTAACTACATTATTGTTTTCTGTAAATTTTATAATGTCATAGTTTTAGGGGAAACTATCTGATTTTCTGTAGTATTTGTCTTGTTTTCCTAAGATTCACATGGTTGGAAGGCTTCCTAGGTTGGATAAGCACTCTATGTTGTAACATGTTTACATTATTCTATAAATCAAACTACAAGAATGTTTCACTAATGATATAAAAATCTCCATGTAAGTAAAAGTTCAGAATATATTATTGGCTAAGAACTTACAGCAATGTCATTATCAATTGTCTTTGGAATCCCAGCCACAGCCACTTTAAGACCACGCTTTTTAACTTCCTTCATGAAAAGATGATTATAAAATAAAACTAGATGAATGAGGGAATGGCTCCTCTCCATTGACATTTCCTTTTATTAATATAAATTTTTTATTATAAAATAGAAATACTAAAATTAATTGTAGGATAATAAGACTTGACCATCTCACGTTTTTTTTTCCACTGCATGACATCTGATAATTAATTTTGTGAAAGTAACCAATTACCTCATAAATGAGTGAAGCTCCTCTTTGGGTACCATCACCTCCAATAATGTATACCTAACATAGATAGATCAAATGTCCTTTGGTTCTTCAGATATCATGTCCACGATTTATAGAAAATTAAAGAAAAAAAATTCACAACACACCTGATTTATTCCACGGTCCTGGATGTTATCTACTATCTTGTGGGTATCATGTCCTCCACGAGATGTGCGAAGAAAGGTACCACCACGTTTATGGATATCGTTAACCACTTTAGGAGTCAACATCAAGGTATTTTTTGAATAAAACCCTTTATAGCCTCCCTAAATCAGTTTAAAAATTCACGTCGCGACCAATAAGAACTCATGGAAAGATCATAAAACGCAACGCAAAGTTGCTAACAATGCCCAAAGGGCATCAGTTGATGAAACAAAAATTGAAAGTATTTACTATTTACTATTCCCTATGTTCCTTTTTATACGAATCAAACTAGAGGTTTTTCTTGATCTTAGTGTTAATCTAGAATGTGTCCTACATTAACATTTTGACAGAATAATCCTAGTTATGAGTTAATACATTGTAGGCAGAAAAGATTAGTCTTGCGCTCTTTTGAGGCCAGGGAATCTAACTTTACCTCTTCATATGCAGAGCATTTTGGGGAATCTTTGCTTCTTCCCATGCATAGCCAATAAAAATTAAAGCAATAAACATACCACTAACTAAAGACATTAAAAGAATTAAAGCCAATAAAAGACAACTATTTTTTTTTCAAATAAGATAACCTTAAATTTTCTACCTTGAGAATTAAGATATCAAAGTCTTTTGAGCTAAAATCACAAAATGCTGGTTAACAAATATTATGTAGCTCCCCTGAATAAGGATAATAGTGAGGATTTTTCCTGTTTCATGCAATCCTTCCCTCTTTTTCTCGGTTGTTTTCTCTTAATGCTTCTATTGAGGGGATTCCTTATTCTGCATTCTCTTTGCAATTTCTCATCTTTATTAAAACCCAGAAATAACGCATTGGCCATTCAACAAACAAGAAAATACTCATAAATTATTGAATTTTATAGAAAGAATATTATTAATATAAACAAAAAGTCATTAAGTCTTCAATTAACAAAAGTAAGGATTATTATACTTTAACAGATACTCTGTATATTAAAATTTCACAAAACTCACCTCAATCCCAAGTATATCTTGAACACCGTACATGTTGTTCAAGCCGCATACTATTTCCCTAATCACTGTATTAATTCCTGGGCATAATCCTCCACAGGTCACTATGCACGCGCGCACTTTTTCTGGCTCGAAATAAACCTAATATTAGAAGAAAAGACACTATCAGTTTCTTAAGAGTAGAAATGGATAGATATTTTCATGTTTTATACCTTTTCTCGAGGTCCTGCACGCCGGAAATGAACTCCTCTAGGACTTTCCTTTTGAATAACAACCTGGTCATGAGATGTTAAAAGAAATGTAGAGAAATGCTAAAAGACGGACATCAATAAATCATTCATAAAGAAAATAATTCCACAAATAAGCGGAGAGGATTGTGTCACTTACATTCTGAGCAACCACGTCTTCTGGGCTCACAAAATTTTTCCTTAAAGTATAAAACAAAATTTTAAACAAGAATCAAACTAACATAAATAAAGGAAACAAAAAAGTTTGGGAACTAGAAAATATAATCTTTTAAGTTACAACGCAAAATTACAAACTTTATTTAAAGCAAATTGCACGTGAACTTACTTAACAATTGAGTAAGCTTGTCTCTTATTCAATGGGTTTGGATATGACTACAAAAGAGGAAGAAATGCATTAAATATTAGAAATAACCATACGGTAAGAAAAGAACAAAAGAAGAAATCACCATTATTTAAAAAAAAAAAAGATTTACTTTTTAAATTTAAATAAGAGAATAAGGAAGGAAAATTCCCCTTGGAACAACTAATGCATCACCAGAATAAAGAAAATTAAACACACAACATCGAAGTGCCCCAACCTAAGTTGCCAAATCTTTAGTTTGATCCCTCATTAATGAGTTCTTGATCAATCTGGTCTCTCCCAGATCAATTTATTCAGTGCAATCCCTCATTAGTCAATTACCAAATATACTCCAATTTAGTCCCCGTGCAATCAAAATTTACCTTAAATTCACCTCCCAAGTGAAAAAATTGAAGCAAATTTTGACAAGTGACAGTGAGGAACTGAACTGAAAAATTTATCTTTTGCTATGAGAATGAGGGACTAAATTGAGAGTGAACATATTAATTAGAGAATAAAATGAGGTTTTTGGTCTAAATCCACAAGAAAGTGCCCCAAGGAGAATTCTGCTCACAGAGAAGCCAAAAAGAAATTATTTAAACAAGAGATTTTCAGGAGAAATCATGCCATAAAACTAAAGCATTACAATCCACGGTATGTTTTATAATACAATATAAACAGCACCGATGCAAATGACCTTAAAATCCTTCCCTGAACAAATAATGTTCAATATAAATTAAAATTTGTTGCACCAATACGACTGGAAAATCCACTGCTCCTCAAATATACTGAAAACCTAATATCAAAGCTGCGATGCATTCGTACAATGTAAATTCATCCTTATTAAACTTTACAGCTGGTCACTTTGTATTAAGTATCAACCTTATAACAGGAGTCCTAGGTTTTGATTAAGAGCTTTCGCCTTCAAAAGTGTGTGTAGAAAAGAGAACAGTTGAAATAGTTGCAGTTGGAATTAAAATAAGTTATTTACCAGTATAAGACCCAGATAACCCAAGACAACTTCCTAAGAGGCAAAGCAAGCTGAATATTATTGATTGGGTATTTGGGAACAATAACTACCCTACTCTACAAGATCAGTGTGTGCTTTTCTGACCAATCTCAGTGTATTTGACAAGTTACTTTAGTATAAATAACTCCCTACTCTATTTCTCACCTATTTTCAATTATCTTACTATTTTCATTCACATTGTTTCTCTTCTCCCTACCAAACATGGCCTTACGAGTTAACTAAAACATGAGAAAGTATGATTACATAATAATATGTTTTCATCAACGTAATAAAAGAATCATATGTCCAGTAGAATCACAATCAAGGACGTCATCGTAACAAACTGAAAACCAGAAATGTGAAATAGCAACAGTTGTGGTGAGAAGCAACGGAGCAAGAAGTAGTACCGGCAAATCGGGAAGGAAGTTGGTGAGATGCGGAACGTCTTCGAGGACAAAATCGTCATTCTCAGATTGAGTCGAAACCTGAATAGCAGTGATGATGGCGAGCTTGTTTTGGCGGGAAATCGACGGCGGCTTCCGGAAAAAGGTTGTGGAAGTTCGGGAGAGTCGCAGAAGCTTCGGAGCGTTTGAATGGAGGGAGAGAGAGAATGGAACGAGAGAAGACGAAGAAACGGAGAGATCCATTATTGTTTCTTCGGAGTATGTTTTCAGTTAGCTCACAAATACCAGTATAAAACCACTTTAATTTTAAAGTATAACACATTCACTTATCATAATTATTAAATTAAATATAAAAATTAAATTGACTTTTTTTTTTTTTCTAAATTGGTGCCAATAAATTAAAAATGTTAAATTGGTTGAATTGGGATACAGAGAGATCAAGGTCAAATGGAATAAAAGGCCATTTTTTTAGGATTGGTGTAAATAGTTAAAATGAATGTTAAACTTTTACTTCATATTTTCAAGAGAAACACTCTTGTTAAGTTTTATAAAATCTGGCAATGGAAACATTTTTAAACATTATTTTGCATCATAGAATTGTTAATGGAACTATATTCCATTATAAATATGGTACAAGGGTGTCCAAAAGTCAAACTCATATACTTCTTTCACATTCAATTATAACTATAATACTATATCATAGATAGAGATAGATTAGATGGCATTTCAATCAACACAACAGCATTACAACCTTAAAAGTCAAACAGGAAACAGAATGCTGTTTAGTATTCAGTTTAATCTAAGCCTCCAACAACAAGGGCCGAGATGGCCATTGAATTTTCTCAAATGTTCCTACATAGATTTGCTCCATTGCCTCTCCTCAACATACTTGATCAGCATACCCTCCTTCCTCAACAATAACAACCAAGCCTTTTCTCTTACAGCTACAGGATTTTGTATGATCTTCAAAACCCTTGTATTCTTATCTAGCAGATGCAGAGATAATGGCCATTCATATTTTCCATCATTTTGTTTCACTTTCTTACCATCAATCATCTGAGCTGTATTCACTAGATTCAGGCAATAAGGGTACAGCAGCACAGCAGAATGATTCCTTGTCCTTAAGAAGTAGGCAACTGCCATCTGAATTCCATTTCAGGTCAGTTATAGTAAATTGTGGTAGAGGAACATGAACACAATAGGCACCGGATGGAGTCCACATATACAAGTGAGAGCTTCCAGTGCAAACAACGAGGCGTGTGCATGTCGGGTCCCAAGCTGCCGCTCGTATAGGATCCTTCTGGACTAAGATTGCAGCTAGCTCCAGGTGTCGAATATCCCATATCCAAAGTATTGTAGGCATACTGTCATTACGAGTGCATATGTATTGGCTATCATTGCTCCATGACAAAATACCTGAAAAAAAAAAAAAAGAGTTTAGTCACTCGGGAATCTTATTCGTAGCTTCTAAGTCATCAAGCAAAACCAGAAACATAAAAACTAGATGATTCTGTCTGTTCAGTAAAGTAATACTATGTAATACATACTGCAGAAACAAAGCATCACCAATGAGGAATATGAAGAACCAAAGATAGAAATAAACATGAAAGGTTGCATTTCCATATACAGCCGCTTGATCTAAGCCAGATAAACTAGTTCAAGCTACCAAGTTGCCTTTATTGTCATGGTTCTATCAGAAAATCACATCCAAGTCAAGAAACTACATTTCTTCCTATTTACTATACAAATAATGCAATTAAGAACCATAGCTTTGCTTCTATGGATTATTGAAAATAAAGCTCATAATTTATTGCATCCGAAAACTAGAGAAGCAAACTTACCAATTCCTTGTTTAGGGTTAGGTTTCTCAGCAGGAGGCTTTTGGAATGGTAAATTGATAGGAACTTCCATAACCTCATACCTGACTCTAAAAGGTTCCTCAGGAGAATCTGTTTGGAGAAAGAAAAATAAGTAACAAAACAAAAGAATGTGAGTGCCATGAACCAGCATGCCTAAAAGCACAAGCTGTTAAATAATAAATGTAGATAAATGGTTTCAATACTTTAATTTTATAACATACCCCCATGCAGAAGGGCTTTCAGGTTTGAAATCTGGACAATGCACAGTGCACATGTCCACCTAACTACTTTGTGATGGAGTCCAACTTTTTATTCAGAAGAATGGGAAAACAAGGATTGAACTCTAGACCACTAGTTCATAAAGGAAAGTATACGTGAAAAAAAGTTCTCACTTGAAATACTCATGTCGATTGGGGAATAGATGAAACCATAAATGCTATTTAAGAGCAGCCCAACGCTTTCCAGATGGTAGTTTTCAAGCAGTGTTTCTATTCCAATTTGTCAAAAGCTATAAATCATACCGATCAGGAACCATAAACTAAGTAATTTTCAATCTCTTTCGTCTCTTGAATTTAAGCCAACTTGGACACAACCCCTTTTATGTTCTACAAGATATGTTATGTTACTCAAGAAAGTTTTATTGAAAATTTGAAACTAAGCTGAAGTTAATTATCAGACAATCCTGGTAAGTTAGTACAAGAAATGTCTGCAGGCAAATTACAAAGCAACAATATATTACAAAAAGTAGCATAACTGCCAAAGAAAAAAAGAGCTGATTCCAACAGTAATTGTGCTAACCATCATTCCCTTGGGAAAAATCATCACTCAAACATAGTTCAGACATATCAAGTTGGAGGGGCTCATCTACTTCCTGCAATTTCAGGGACAAGGTAAATAATTTTTTCAAACTACGATATCATCAACATGGGGAAGTGTCTTAAAGGAGTACTTTGAAAACAGCAGCATAACAAGGGCCCCGAACTGTATATGGGTGCATTAGCTCCGCAAATGTCTTCCAAGTAAGGTGATTCAGGACCCGCAACATCTGATCATAACTTCCCACTGCCAGAAACTGACCACAAGGAGACCAGGACACGCTTTTAACTCCCAATCCACTTTCATATGCCTGGTACTTGAAAAGGCACCTTCCGTCTGGAGAATATATTAGAACCTATATCAAATAAAAGTTGACTAAGTTTTAGGAAATTGTAAATTACAGCATAAATTTCTAATGTTAATTTATAGCATATCCAGCGGGTTATACAAAAGTAATGACTATAAGTAACACATTAATATAGAAAACACATTATTTGTGATAAATTGTATGGCATGATACATGACACGCATGAAACTTCAATAATCAAATGCATGAACTTAAATCTGTCTTAGATCATAAGGTCAAGTAAGACGCATATAAAAGAAAAATAGAATCTGTGATTGTAACCTTGTATTCAAGAGAGGAATCCCATATCACTATCGAACTATCATCGGGAGACCATTCAATATCAGCCAAATCTAGAGTGTCAACTGCAAAATTGCCCATGATTTCCCACGTGTGACAGGATAACAGATTTATATAGTCCTTGCAATCACGCCTTGTGCATATTGCTGCAAATTTTCCATCACGTGTAAAAGAAACTCCTTTGGAAGCATGTTTTGGCCACTGTAAATGCACACAGGCTGTATTTAACAAAGACCACACAGTTAAACGCAACTGGAAATCTGATGTGGTGAGTATGTGGCGGCTATCTGGACTCCACCTTGCATATGCAATACCAGCAGGTCCTTCATCTATCTTGCATGTCCATTCTGGCTGGGTCAGCGACCAAGCCTGTATCATTGGCTTTTTGTAGAGACCACAAAGAATATATTCGGAATCAAGGGCCCATTCAATATAGCTAATCTTGTCCAAGCATGAAAACAACTGCACAACCTGCATAGGCCAGAAAGAAGATTGCAAACCATGAACTAGAAGTAGATAATTGGAATAAAGCAGCTTAATCAGTGAGTCAGGTGAAAATGTGCATAAAACCTCAGTTTATAATTAGCATAGATCACATCAAAACCTAGTGTATATTAAACTCTTTGACTGTCTTTATACCCATTTTTTTAGTATACATCATTCATATTGAACAACATATATTTATTTTTTCAAGAATAAGTTTGTACACAATTATGGATTAAGTAATTCTTAGAATGTGGGTTTAAGTCTAATTCAAGCTTACAAAACCAAATATAAGATAAAGTGTGTGCACACTTATATTATTATATATACTCTATTTTAGTCATATTTTTAGACGATGAAGAATATTCAAAACAAATTCTAATGTCGAATACTAAACATGTTTAACCTGAATATTTGTGAGTGATCGACAGTGGGTGGCATAATAGACTCACTAAGATAGGCTCATACCATTTTAGAAATAAGTTTAGGTCTAACTCAACCCTGTAAAACCAACGTAGGTGAAATCTGTACCCATTTTTATACTCATTTTAGTTATATCTATAGACAATGTGAAATGTCTATCATATGCACTCAGAATTATAATGCACTGGGAACGGTAAGACATAATAACAATCAAGGTGAATAATTTTATTATGAACAGACTGATTTGATTTATGGTTTTAGAAAATTGAAGATTTTATTCCACATAGACTGCAAGGAAATATGGCATACTATGTGTTCTAAGCTGACATTTAAAATTTAACAAACATTCTTATTCTATCCTATTGGTTTATTAGCACATAGCTTTTATTCAGACCCACGGTTCGTTATTCCATCATGTAATTTGGATGCAAAGAGACTGAGCCATCACAATGCAGTGTTCACAACTCCTGGAATTTAATGTCTCCCTATCTCCAAGACACCAATTTACAACCATAAACTGCCTCATGTGCCTGTAAAAATTGGTACCAGTACTGATAGTCTAAAACATCAACTTTCATGATAGCTAGTGCCCAGTTGTGTCAAGTCAAAACTTCAACTTCTTCATATAGAAATAACCTCTCTCCACTGGATATCACCCACCCTTGTGTTTTCTTACAAATCTAAGTATCTAAAAAAGAACCTCCAAGCTTTGCTTCTAAAAAAAAAAAAAAACACATTACCATGACAACTTTCTAACTCATCAGACATTCGCACATGCAAAGCGATAAATAAAACAGAAGAACAACAAACAATAAAAACAAAACAGAAAACCCAGATCCCGTTCCTTGCCATGAGTCTCAAGTTCCCAAAAGCTGAAATTCATAAACTGGGTCTCCCAAAAGTGTCCCGAAAAACCTAAGTCCCAGAAGTTCAAAACTCCAAAGACTACACCCACAGAACAAAGATTGAAAATTGAAGCAGTGATGGAAGAAGGGGTAACAGAAAACCAAACCTTGAAGGAAAGGGTCTCCCGAATGACGAGGCGATAATCAACTGCAACAGCAATGAAGCGAGCATTGGGCGAGAAACAACAGGGGCCCGTTTGCTTGTAAGATTCAGTGAACTCCATGATCGCCAGATGGAAAATGGGATATTGGATTGTGAGTCAAGTTTCAACTTGGCACGATAAGAAGGGTGCATAATAAATTAAAGTTGTGGTGACAGGTGAGTGAAGTTAAATCATCAAAGGGTGAGTGACAGAACAGAAGAACAATTTAACTAGATCTGGAAAAGGGAGAGAAACTATCTTCTTGTCTTCTTCCATTATTAGTTTGAAAGTGAGAGAGACAAGATTTTAAAGCCTTTTATGCAACCAATGAGATGTTCAATCATAAATTTGGTGTGATGCTTTTTGTTCTTTTTCCCTTGCATCCAACTTTGAACTAACAATTCAAATACAGTCAAGTAATTTAAAATAGTCTAAATTGTAATTTTAATTTTTTTTTAATTAATATGCCATTTTTTAATCTTGCATTTTAGAAAAATATAATGTTCGTTCAATTTTTCTTTTATATATGTTTTATTTTTACCAATTAAACTGAAGATCTAAAATATTTTTTTAAGTAAGTATTATTAAAAACAGTTTATTAATCAAAATATAATTAAAATTGAAAAAAATACAGGAGATTAATATCACTAGTCATTTAAAGAGAAATAAAATTGTAATTTAACTTTTTATTCATGGAGATATAGAGGGGAGAACCATCAAATTATAACAGTATAATTCTAACCAAATATTATACTGAAATTGATTTATACAAAAAAAAAGAGAGTAAAATTTATTAATCTATGTTTTAAATTATAATTTTGATTATTCATATTCAATTTTGCAAAATTGAACATAAAAATAAAGATAATTAAATAATTTTATAGTTTATTATTTTTTATATGTTTATATTACGTCAATTTTAATTTATATAAATATGATACTAATTAATTTTATACTAATATAAAATTTTATATATATCATATATGTGAAGAGAATTTTCAATATAACAATGAATTTTGACAAAATTAGTTCAATCGAAAGATATTATAGATATAATATTTAATAAAAATTATATGGATGTAATTTCATTTATTCTTATATTCATATATATATATATATATATATATATATATATATATATATATATATATATATATATATATATATATATATGGGAGATAATAAATTATATCAATCTTAATTTTATTACATGTTATATTATTTAATATATTTTTATTTTATTATATTTTAAAAAAAATTATTTGTTAGAAAGAATATTCCTTCCAAAGTGAATTATATATATATATATATATATATATATATATATATAATTTTATATTAATCTTTAAAACATAAATAATCATTATAATATGATGAAATTGTAATTTAAAGTTGTACTAACAAATTCATCTTTTTATACAAAGTTAATAATAATGTAAAATATAATAAAATTTACACCAGTTATCAAAATGTTACAATAATTAATATCTTTCGAATAAATTACATTTTAAAATGTATCATTAGATTGAAATTTATTTTCACATATATAAATTTTATTTTAATTTAAAATAATTTGATTCTTATTTATAATAATAATAATAATACAACTTCTTTAGAACTTATTTTAATTTTTTCTTTACTTTTTATATTTTCTCGACTTTTTCTTCATTGTTTTCTCGTATAATGTTCTTTTAATTTTTCTTATTTTTGTAAATATATAAATTATAATAACAGTTATTCTTATAATATCTTTTTTCCTTTTATAAGTCATTAATACACAATATATATATATATATATATATATATATATATAATTTTTTTTAAATGAAAAAAAGGATTTATAATAAATAAAAATAATAATATAGATTATTGTTATCATTATTAATTAATTGTTTTTAATAAAAAACAATAGTAATGATAGGACTTTATAATTTAAAAGAATGGACAAAATTTACTTTTTATATAAATTTATTGATGGTATAGCAATATTATAATATCCTCAATTTTTTAGTAAAATAAAAAATAAATACACATTGTTTGATTTAAGGAATGAAACGAATACATTGAAATAATTTAAAGTTACTTGATTTAAGAGAATGAAATTTAAAAGTAATGAAACACACCATTATTTTATTTTTCTTCTATCAACTCCTTTCATTTTTTTTAACTTAATTTTCACCTATTTTGACGTATCTTTTCCTTTTATATATAATAGCTACAGCTTAAAGGTTGTGTATGTATTTGTCTTTTAAAACATGTAATAAAAATTTTGATTCATATACCTACGAGATTAAATTTAAAAAACCAAGACATTAACGTATAAATATTACCTACGAAATATAAATTGTTTTGTTAATTAAGAAGTAATATTTTATATATAAAATAAAATAAGGGCCAAAATTTCAAAAGATAAACCATTTTCTAACGTTTTTAAAATACTATTCCTATTATGCTTAAGTTTTGCTTTGATTAATTCAAGTCAAAGCTGTTATATTTTCACATGAATTAAAGCCCCGGTTGGTGAGATGAAATACATCTTCAAATGCAGAAACAAATTGTAAACCCTAAACATTAAAATGTGTTTTCATAGAGACAGTAACAAGCGTGTAATGCAATGGAAGGTGCACAAGTATAGCTATAATTCATATACAAAAATGTAACCCAGAATCTTATTATTTTTTATTTACAAAGGAATTAAAACCAAAGAGACGAGGAGTGAATAAGTTTTAACCACCAGGAATGACAGATCAAGGCCTATACACCTATTCCCCATGTAAAATAATGAAGCCATAAAATTCATAAAACTGCCATAAGCTATTATATACCCATTCAATGATTGATTAGACCCATTCAATGATTGATTAGTTGTAGATTTTTACAGGCTTCTCAATTGTGTGACGGTTCTGCAAAATTGAGAAATGATTATTGTAGACTTCTGAAACCTGCAACACAAAATTATTTCAGTCACTTATATTCAGCTGTTATTGCATTTGGATATCCAGTCCAAATACGATAGCTTCCTTTCTTTCGAATTATATTGTCAAGCATGTAGATATAAATGTTAAATAAAATTCATTCTTCATTTCTTCTTTTCATATCATACCATTTTCATTTATTTTTCCTGTTTCATATATTTATGAAAATAGGAGTTTAATGGTTTTCTTTACAAACCATTGAAAAGGTGAAACAGGAAATGCAAACTAAATGATTTTCTCAAAAACAAATAAGGCTATTACTCTTTAATTTTTTGACGATTAAGTTCCCAGTACCCACTATTATAGTCTATATAGCACTGTTGGTACTTCACAGAATTTTCCTCATGTTCAATTACGTTCTATATTTCACAATTTATCCCAATATTTACCTGGTTAACTGCGTAGGACCTTTTTGGAGCACTATCAGTGTGTTCCAGTCCAAGATATTGCTCCCAGGAACCAAATATATCCCTTCTCTAAACAAACATACAGACAATGCAAATTTGTAATAACTTAATCATGTAGATGTCAAAATAAAGATTCATACATACTCAACCAAAACACAAGATAAAGAGAATATTGACTAACCTGAAACCAAGCACAAACAATATCTGAATCTTGTAGGTATTCCGGATGACCATGTAACACAAACGCAAATTTCCACTGGAACGACAAATAACATAGGAAAAATATGTCAATTGTGAAACAAAACCTTGTTAACTCTACATCCAGAAAAGTAATAACAGAATGATGGTAGTTTAACCACAATGCAGAAAAAAACAACAACGAATTTTGAACATTATTATTATTAGACGATGTCCCATAAAAAAGTTTACCAAGCTTTACAATACCTCAAATGTAGTGCAGATAACTGAATACACATATTCATACATACCTTTGAAAACTCTGCATCTGGAACTTGAAGCCTTTTTTGTACACGCAATTTAACATCAGCCAATGTCTCACCCTCATGGATTACAATTAGAAAAGGATCCCCAAAATTCTGAATTTGCTGCTAATTCCAAAATTTTCCAAGGAGAAATGAGTCAATTTACTAGAAAACATTATATTTGAACTGAAAAAGTATTGAGAAATTATAACAATACCAGAGATTTGATCTTACCAAATACTGTTGAGCAGTATCCTTAGAGAAATGATAAACATGAATCAATCGATCAAGTGGACCAAGATTTCTCTCATCTTCAAGAATCTTCAATAGTACCAAAGAATATTATATTCGTAACAGGAAACCAAAATGAAGAGGAATCATGCACTAAAAAATTAATAAAAGCTGGCACAATAACAAAATGACATAATTACAAATTCAGAGTCAATCTCGAATAGTTATGCAGTGTGGCTGAAACCAAAACTAATAAGGTAAGATTGTGATAGTAGCACAACCACTAATGAAGATTATGGACACAGTGCAAGTAATTTATTCTACATTTTACACGTGTGAACACTAAATTAAATATAAATGTAGAGGGATAGAAACAAGCAGCAGGACACGGGAATTAAGTGAGAACATAGTAAAGAAATCACAGCTAAAGAAAAAGAGAGACAACAGGCTGTCATTTACTCAAGAGAAAGAGTCTGACACAGCTGTGAAAAACAAACCAGAGTTGCCAAAACAGGTGGGGTTGGCTGGTTATCTAATAGAGTTTGGGTTCAAAAGATAGTGGTCTGCAAGAAGTGCGGATTTCTGTGAAGCCCATGACAGAGGTGCAATTGTTTAATGAAATTCATCTACAGGGATGGTTTACAAACTCAGAGCCTTTGGCAAAAGCAAACAAGTGAGAAAACAACAGAAATTAACTCAAAGAGAATTGGTGGGAAGCAACCGAGCATAAGGGCGAACTGGGATTTTAGCCACATAAAAACAGCTGGATGGAATCTGGCCATGATGACAACAAAAAAATGCATCATGGTGTGCTCATCATGAACAAAACAAGCAAGTGCAACAACACAATGCAGTGGCTACCATTACAAAATGAAAACCGAAATAGAACTCAAGAAATTACAAAGCTTAAATATCAATGAAATCTAAAGTATGGGTAAATTTTGTAATTTCTTGGCATGCTCATCAGGCAAGTCTTTCTTGAAACA